TACAGGCCAATCTCCCTAATGAACACTGATGCAAAAATCCTCAATAAAATTTTAGCCATCAGAATCCAACAATGTATCCATAAGATAATTTACCACGACCAAGTAGGATTCATTCCAGGGGCACAAGGATGGTTTAACATCCGAAAATCAATCAGCGTTATCCAACACATCAACAAAAAGAAATATAAAAACCATATGATAATATCAATAGATGCTGAGAAAGCTTTCGACAAAGTGCAACACCCTTCATGATAAAAGCCCTTGAAATTCTTGGGATACAAGGAACATACCTCAACATCATAAAGGCCATCTATGACAAGCCAACAGCCAGTATCATTCTCAATGGTGAAAAGCTGAAAGCAATTCCATTAAGATCTGGAACAAGACAAGGATGTCCACTCTCACCACTGCTTTTCAATATAATACTGGAAGTCCTAGCCAGGACAATAAGACAAGAGAAAGACATCCAAGGAATCCAAATAGGAAAAGAAGAAGTCAAACTATCACTATTTGCAGACGATATGATATTATACATAGAGAACCCCAAAAACTCCACAGAAAAGCTAATTCAACTCATCAATCAGTTCAGTAAAGTGGCAGGATACAAAATCAACACGCAAAAGTCAGTAGCCTTCCTATACACAAACAATAAATCTGAAGAAGAAGAAATCAAAAAAACCATCCCTTTTGTTATTGAAACAAAAAAAATCAAATATTTGGGAATAAATCTAACAAAAGAGGTAAAGGACCTATACAAAGAAAACTATAAAACACTGTTAAAAGAAATAGAAGAAGACACAAAGAAATGGAGAGACATCCCCTGCTCGTGGATTGGAAGAATAAACATTATTAAAATGGCCATTCTTCCAAAAGCAATATACAGATTCAATGCTATTCCAATCAAAATTTCAATGTCATTCTTCAAAGAAATAGAACAATTATTGATGAAATTCATATGGAATCACCAAAAACCCCGAATAGCCAAAGCTCTCCTGAAAAAAAAAAAGGAATGGAGGCATTACACTCCCAGACTTCAAACTATACTACAAAGCCATAATCATCAAAACTGCATGGTATTGAACAAGAACAGACATACAGACCAATGAATCGAATAGAAAATCCAGAAATTAACCCACAGATTTATGGTCAACTAATCTTTGACAAAGGAGGAAAGACTATGCATTGGAGCAAAGAAAGTTTGTTCAATAAATGGTGCTGGGAAAACTGGGTCGCTACATGCAAAAGAATGAAGCTTGACCACTACCTCACACCATACACAAAAATCAACTCAAAATGGATTAAAGAATTAGACATAAGACCTGAAACCATAAAATATATAGAAGGAAATATAGGCGAAACACTACGTGATTTGCACATCAAAGACATCTTTACAGACACATCACCCAAAGCAGTGATAGTGAAGGCAAAGATAAACAGCTGGGACTACATCAAATTAAAGAGCTTCTGCACAGCAAAAGAGACAATAACAAAAACAAAGAGAAAACCCACCAACTGGGAGAACATTTTTGCACCCAACACTAATGATAAAGGACTGATCACAAAAATCTGCAAAGAGCTGATGAGACTCAACAACAACAAAGAAAATAATCCAGTCAAAAAATGGGCAGAAGAGCTAAAAAGAAACTTTTCTGAAGAGGAAATGCAAATGGCCAACAGGCATATGAAAAAATGTTCAACATCACTTGCCATCAGGGAAATGCAAATCAAAACTACCATGAGATACCATCTTACACCAGTGCGAATGGCACATATTAAAAAAACGAGCAACAACAAATGTTGGCAAGGGTGTGGAGAAAAAGGAACTCTTCTGCACTGTTGGTGGGAGTGCAAACTGGTCCAACCACTGTGGAAAGCTGTGTGGAGATTTCTGGACCTACTAAACATAGAGCTTCCATATGATCCAGCAATTCCACTCCTAGGTATTTACCCAAAGGACACAGAAACATCAATTCCAAAGAACACCTGCACCCCTATGTTTATAGCAGCACTGTTTACAATAGCTAAGCTTTGGAAACAACCCAAATGCCCAAAAATAGATGACTGGATCAAGAAGATGTGGTACATATATACCATGGAATATTACTCAGCATTCAAAAAAGATAAACACATGCAATTTGCAGCAACATGGATGGCGCTGGAAGGGATCATGCTCAGCGAAATAAGCCAAAAAGAAAAAGAAAAATACCGGATGGTCTCACTCATAGCAGGAATCTAGAAAACTTAAATAAGGGACCAGGAAAATGAATAACTATAAGAAAGTGAAAATCAAAATCAACAAAAAACTATGAACCAGAGACACTTTTTTGGGGGCGGGGGCGGGAGGGGAGGGATTGGGGTCAGAATGGGGGGGCTGCAATTGTATGGGGAATATAACAATAAAATTTATTATTAAAAATAAATAAATAAATAAATAAAAATTAAAAAAAAAAAAGATCATAACAGAAAAAAAAAAATTGGGCAGAAGAGCTAAAAGAAACTTTTCTGAAGAGGAAATGCAAATGGCCAACAGGCATATGAAAAATGTTCAACATCACTTGTAATCAGGGAAATGCAAATCAAAACTACCATGAGATACCATCTTACACCAGTGAGAATGGCACATATTAAAAAAACTAGCAACAACAGGTGTTGGTGAGGGTGTGGAGAAAAAGGAACTCTTCTGCACTGTTGGTGGGAGTGCAAACTGGTCCAACCACTATGGATAGCTGTGTGGAGATTTCTGGACCTACTAAACATAGAGCTTCCATATGATCCAGCAATCCCACTCCTAGGTATTTACCCAAAGGACACAGAAACATCAATTCCAAAGAGCACCTGCACCCCTGTATTTATAGCAGTACTATTTACAATAGCTAAGCTTTGGAATCAGCCCAAATGCCCAAAAATAGATGACTGGATTAAGAAGATGTGGTACATATATACCATGGAATATTACTCAGCATTCAAAAAAGATAAACACATGCAATTTGCAGCAACATGGATGGTGCTGGAAGGGATCATGCTCAGCGAAATAAGCCAAAAAGAAAAAGAAAAATACCGGATGGTCTCACTCATAGCAGGAATCTAGAAAACTTAAATAAGGGACCAGAATAATGAATAACTATAAGAAAGTGAAAATCAAAATCAACAAAAAACTATGAACCAGAGACACTTTTTGGGGGTGAGGGCGGGAGGGGAGGGATTGAGGTCAGAATGGGGGGGTTGCAATTGTATGGGGAATATAAAAATAAAATTTATTATTTAAAAAATAAAAAAATAAATAAATTGTTAAGCCCAGATGATCTAATTATTTGCTTAAAGCCATTAAGCAAATTGTTCTGTTTCCCTTCTTTTCTCTTCCCATTCTGGAATACCCACTTTTTTTAAGATTTTTTTTATTTATACAGGAACCAGGGTACAGGCCAGATGTGCGGGAAGATGAGAGGATTCACCAGAGCCAGAGCGGGGAACAGAACAGGCAGACTGATGAAATACACTGCTGAGGGGAGCAGCGGTGCGGCAGGAGAGGTCTGCTTCACCATGTGGGATTCTCGCCAGCGGGCTGGGATTGAACCAGCGCTGCAGAGGCTGTGGACAGCTCCACAGCACTGCGTTCAACTGCCTGCTCCATCAGAGGAGGCCCTGGAATACTCATATTTATAATGTTGCCTTTCCTAGTGGAGTTGGACAATTCCTGATGTGTTTTTTTCTTTTATTCACATTTCTTTTTCCACTTGGGCCCTTGGCGCAGCTTCAAGGTCACTGTATTGATCATCCCTTTGGTCTGTTCTGCTTCCATAGATTTGTAAAGAATTTTACCTCCTTTATTGATCCTACATCTGTTATTTTCTTATTTAAAGTTTGTTTTCCAGCTTCTGTTCATTAATGTTATTTTAGAGGACATTAATTTTCTGAGTTTTCTTTTATATCTTTGATTAGTGTTCTGTGTTTTCTTCCATTTATTTGAATTCTCTTACCATTGCAGTTTTGAGCTGTGTATCTGATAGGAAGAGAAAATCTTCCATGTCTTTGTAGTTGGGTTCCAAAAAGTTATTCTCGTGGTGACATATTCCCATGAGCATTAAGGTACCATGTGTTGTGTTTTTATGTCTTCCCATTTTGCTGCTTTTGGTTTGCTTTTTTTTTTTTTTTAATATCCTTAGCAATAACTTAGAAGTTTGCAGAATTTCTACTTTACCAGTAGGTGACAGGTTTGTTATTTTTTTTTAATTTTTTAACTTTCCCTGGTTGTTTTATAGTATTTGGCCTTTGCAGGCTTCTATACATTATTTGTCAAGCAAACCTGATCTGTACCTGCTGAGTAGAACATCAGGGAGGGAATTGGAGTGGTCCAATTGCTAGTGAGTTTTTGGGGGGACAAGGAGGAGGCTGTTTTGTGGCACCACTGATCACCCTTTTCTCTGGGGTTCCACACCCATGATTCTGCAGTCTGCATGCAGCTAGCATAGTTCACAAGTCTCTCCGGAAGTTCAACTAGATTTCAACAGAAAATATAGGAGAAAAATCCTTTCCAGTTTCCCTCCAGGGGAGGGATGAGGGACCATTTTGAAGTACTGCAGTGCAATCTCCTTATGACTATTTCAAGCAATGCTGCTGCTACTCTGAACATTATGTCTTCAGTTACACATGGTGCACAAGTTTCTCAGGGCATGTGCTAGTAGCTGAGCTTTTGGTTTAGAGTATGAGCATTTTCATACAGGTAATACTAAATGGTTTCTCAGGTGGTTGTGCTTTTCTTATTTATAATGGATTGTCTGAGTCAGTGCACTTAATCTGCTACTTTGGATTCTTCTGTAGATATAACATAAAATGGAATAGTTTAAAAATATGTCTAAAAAGGTTAACAAGTTTCTTTTTCCAGCTACTACTATTGGCTGATAGAAGGTGCACTGTTTAAATAGTTACAGAACAAAGTGCTGCTTGTCTTTTTGTTAGTGCTTTGAATCCACTAACCATTTCAACTTGGATTCACTTGGCAGGTTTGGTGCAAAAGCCAAAGTCGTGCATTTCTTGGGACGAATCAAGCCATGGAATTATACTTATGATCCCAAATCAAAAAGTGTCAGAAGTGAATCCCATGATCCCACCATGACTCATCCAGAGTTTCTCAACCTATGGTGGGACATCTTTATCACCAACATTTTACCTCTGCTTCAACAGTTTGGCCTTGTTAAAGACACCTACTCATACCTAAATGTGGTAGGTTCCACTTTATTCTTTTAATTTATTTAGCTGTATTATCTTTTAAACTTGGCATATCATTTGAGATGGAGTAGTTTGTGGTATTTTAAATGAAGAGGTAACTAAGCTTTTGTAGAAATAAAATGTCTATCATTTTATCAAATACTATCAGCAAAGAACTAAAACAGAACTCTGTTTTGTGGGAAATTTAACTAAATTTGAGAGCATAAGAAAGGTTATTTGGGGTTTTTATATACATCTGTATCTTGTAACTATAAAATTCATAACCCAATGTCCTATGAAAATATTCTGAGATTATTCCTATAGTTGTAGTCTAGAAAAGTAAGGAATACCCCATTTCATGTTTTAGAAATTACATTTAAATATATCTTTAAATAAACCTTTAAAAGTGCATTTTCAGTGTAAATTATAACAACATAAACATACAAATGCTTTTCTAGGATTTTTCTGATTTGCCATGTTTGTACTCCTGTGGTTATATAGGGTATTGAAAAAGATTTCCTTAGAGAGGAAGATTGCATGTTAACATTATAATAACAACCTACTTTAGCATCTTTTTTGACATTAAAGGTTCCTATGAGGTTTATTCTTTCGAAGAATTAGAAGGGGATGAGAAAATAAACATTTCTGTTAAATATTAAGATATAAAGAACAGAACTGAATGGATGAGTTATAATCAAGTCTAACTCATCCGCTGCTGCAAATTATAAGAGACTATAAGGTTATGAGAGATCCTTCCCAAAGGGAACAATGCTATGTTGAAGGATAGAAATGGATGTTTAGCAGTGAATTTATTGTTGTATATAGAGGGCAATTCTTAATCATGCACATCTGAGACCATGATGTTATAATGCAGTGTTTCTCCAATTAAAAAAAAAGAATAAAGAGAAATCTTCCTTTTACTATGGTAAAGATTTTAGCCATTTCATTCATTAGCTTTTATGCCAAAATATCAAAAGGAGAAAGGGAAATATAATATATTCTTATTCTGAGTGCTTTATGTGGGTCATAAAATAATACTTGTACATAACTTAAAATGGTGTCTGATACAAGCTGCTTGAAATGTTAGAAATTATTTAACCCTTGCAAACACTCTGTCAAGTAAATATTGTTAATAACGCCTTTTCCAGTTAAATTAAAGAACTTACGTAACTTTTCTTAGTTATGTAACAGACTAGTCAAAAGCAGAATTGGGACTCAAATTCAGGTCTGATAAACTAAATTATCCTGATGAAAAATATTGTGAGCAAAGGACTGTGAAAGAGCCTTCCAATATCATTCCTATTGCAAGCAGAAGGCATTTGGCAGAACTCTAATGCAAGGGATGGATTTCTTATATTGTCTCAACTATACCACAGTTCCATAGAATCTACCCAAATGCCTTCTAATGCCAGTATATTTAAATACATACATATACTGTTAGGCTTAAACATTGCTTAAACACTATCACACATGAAAAAAAAGTGATAAAACTTTTGTCCTACCACTTTGTTAAAAACAGTACTTTTATATAATTATTCATCTTTTTTTCTCTGCTAACATTTCCAGTACCTTCTCACCTCAGAGTTTTTTGGAGGACTACTTTGATATTCTTTTATGGCACTACATGTAATGAAAATTGAATTTAATGTAGAGCAGATTTGCTCCATTTCCTGTACATTTATTTACCGTGTTCCTTCCCCAACCCAAGGACTGAGGATTATGAACCAAGAAAATATGAAGATGGGAATTGAAACGGTTCAAAACTAAGCAAATTAAATTAACAGAAGCTACAAGAATAGATGCACCTTGATAATAAGCTTGAACAGGCAGATAAGTTTGGTGCAGTCTTAAACCATTTAGCGTTCTTTCGCTTTTATAATGTGACAATTTGTGTATGTGGTGTGGCTCTGTGGTTAGGTTCTTTCTAAATCTCAGCCAATGAAGTGCCATTTTGTTTAAGTTCTCAGCCTTTCTGAGCCCACACAGATCAAGAATTTATTGTTAGACTTGTGATCCCTGGTCTATCCATCTTACACTTTCTAATGAACTGTTTGCAGCTTTCAGACTTGGTCTATACACTGGCTTTCTCTTGTGGCTTCTGTAGAAAGGTATGCAGAACTTAAACATTAACCCTAATTACTTTGTTCTCCCAATGTCTTCACTGAGTCAAGAAGTCTTCATTTTGTTAGGAAAAAAAATCATATGACCCTTGTATCTGTGTCTTTTTTGTTTGTTTCATGTTTTCAGTTTTTGCTACTTTGCATGATAATTCATCCTGGCTTTTCTCACCTTATATTGCATTCTTTTAAATGGTATGATTTTCAGGTCTTAAGGAATCTCTGATTATGTTCTCCTTTCTAGGGAGATATTTCAGGAGCCATGTCACATCTGTCCCTTGGAGAGATCCCAGCTATGGCACAACCTTTTGTATCCTCAGAAGAACGGAAGGAGCGGTGGGAACAGGGCCAAGCTGATTACATGGGAGCAGATTCCTTTGACAATATCAAAAGAAAACTTGACACTTACCTTCAGTAGAAACACTGCCATTTTCCTGTGGACACACCCACTTTACAGGCTCTTGTTCCTGATACTTAGTATCTATAGAGTTGGGTTGGAAACAGTCTGTTACAGTTGCTAGAAGCTTTAACTAAAATTCATCAGATGAGAGGTTTTGGGAGGACAGCAAGGTGTGAACTGGATAAAAGTTGTGAAGTAGTAATTCTGCCATATGAAGTGTCCTGCCTTTTTAACCTCACCTTAACCCTCAGATGTTTCAGGAATTTAAATGATGCTGATTACCAACATGTAAGGGAAACTCAATATTCAAGGTATTGAAATGGCTATGTCAACTCTTAAAATATGCCAAGCCTGGCTTCAAATCAGTCTCCCTTCAGAATGGGACATGGTATCTGTCTCTTACCAGACTTGCATTTTAAATTGCCCAGAGGCAGCCACAGTGATTGTAATTCAGCTTTCAGGTAGACTATAACAACACTGCTAAGTGATTCAGAAATGTATCAACAAAAGATGCTAACCTATTTTATTTCCTAGTTTTAGAGTCTGAAGTTTTTCATCAGTTTTCATTGTATAATAAGGCAGCATGCTAAAATGCTTTTGTTCAGTTCTGTATATCTGAAAACAGCAGTGTGCGCTTTGATGGTTATTTGCAATGGCACCTTGTATGAAAAATAAAGATTTACTGACATATCTGGTTGTCTAATTAAATTAAGGCTCTCCCCACTGAAAAAAAAAAACTGTGTTAGGGATTTTTTCCATAATTTGTATTATGTATCAGTGTTTTAAAAACCAGAGTAAAACTTGACATTGGAACATATACTTAAAAAATTGATTTCTAGATTATCCAGAGATACTTAGTGTTCTCTAAAGAAGATGACAGATCTGATGGAGGAAAGTGAAATCAAATTTATTTAATCTGTCAGCCACACTGACTGCATCTCCATATGAAATGGGTACTGAGATTTTAAAATATTATAACCTTGAAATCAACATACTCAACAATCTTTCTGGACTGTTAGTACTGTACCCAGTGTCTTCAAGTGTTTTACTTATGACTTACAATGATAGAGTAAAACATTTATTAAATGTACAAATGATTCCAGGTTACAAGGATGGCATGCTAGGGAAGGGGAAGATTAAGATCCAAAATAACTTTTTTTTTTTAAAAAATATTTATGCAAGAACCAGGGTACAGGCCAGATGCGTGGGAGGGTGAGAGGATTCACCAGAGACAGAGCGGGGAACAGCACAGGCAGACTGACGAAATATACTGCAGAGGGGAGCAGTGGGCGCGACAGGAGAGGTCTGCCAGGCCAAGTGGGACCCTCGCCGGCCGGCCGGGATTGAACTGGCGCTGCAGAGGCTGCAGACAGCTTCACAGTGCGGCGCTCAACCGCCTGCACCACCAGGGAAGGCCCCAAAATAACTGTTTAAAACTAAGGTTGAATAATCAGAAATCATTGGGAAAAAAACAGGATAGAAGACCATGACAAAACGAAACTTTAGTGGTTTAACAATGCATTAAGCTGTAATGGTTTTTATGACCTATTAGTCAATGTCACCCTCCTTTATATCCACAATATCCTATTGGTTACACAGGTGAACCTATTCAATATAGGGGTATGGAAACTTGGAATCAGGAATGATTGGGAGGGTCTCTGTAGCAACTGGCTACCACAAGAGCGCAAAAAGAACCTGAGGATTTACCTAAAATTGTGAAATGTTAAATTATAAGATCAAATAAGCTATAGTATTTGAACTGGTGGAGAATGACATGCTATGATCTTCCAAGTATAGAAACACGTACCAAAAATTTTTAAGTGCCTCCATGTGTCAGGTGCTGTGGTACAAAAACCTCTCAAGATATTCTTAGTATAAGAAGCTCTGCAATGGCTAGTATGAACTGAACTTTTCCAATGAAAATCCAATGCATTAAATATCTAGCTAAACTGAAATTAAATTCCTTACAGTATAATATGTAAGTCATACAAATGAGCCTTTAAAGGAGTAAATTTCTAGACCGCCTAAGATAGTATAAACCCAAAGCTTGTTTCAGCCCTATTTTGCTTTTACAATCCCAATGGTCATAAAGATCTGCCTGGTTTCAAAGAAATACTTGTGCTTATTCCAGAAATAACTACTCAAAGCATTTATTCAATCATGTTAGTTTCACATTAAGCACAACTTGAGCTAACATACACATTGGTGACAACACAGTAATTCACAAGTACTTATCAAGTACCTACCATATCACATATGTGATGTGACAGTCATTAGAAACACAGGCATTTACAAAAAAGACAGAGTTCCTGATATTCTAGCAGGAAACTGTCCAAAAAAAGCTAACAAATATGAATTATGCTAAAGCACACTGACATTAATGTGGAAAGTCCAATTTAGGGCAGTCTGGAAATACTTCCTCTCAGATGGTAAACAAGCCAAAAGAGGTTATGAGATAGTCAAAAGGGTAGGAGAAGGAAGAATTTTCTTTCCAGAGGGAACAGTATGAAGCAAAGTCCCTAGAACAGGCAAGAACTTAGTGGAAGTAAAGAATTTCAAGACAGGATGGAGGGGTAGTGGGGTGACTGTAGGCCAATTTGTGGTGTTTGGATTTTACTATAATTCTACAGCAACTGATTGAGGTTTTATTAATGTAATTTGTACTTTTTATTAATGGGAAATCGTGCATACAAAAATAAGCACAATACTATAAATTTAGAATTCGCATCACTCAGCTTCAGCAATTACATGTCACATCTGCATTCCCATCAGTTCTCCCCCCACAGATTATTTGGAAGCAAATCCTAGTTAATTTTTTATGAAAATATTTCCCTGTATATCATAAGGACTTAAGAAAATTATCACACCAAAAATGTATTAATAGCAAATGTCCTCCATTATTTTTTGTTTTATTTGTACTTTACATTATTAGGAAACAAGTAAGGCCTCTATCTCTGATAAAGTCTTGCTTCCTCACCCTCCCTTTTTTTTTTAATTTCCTTGCAATGTTTGAAGAAACCAGATTTTTGTTTTGTAATCCTGCATTTACAATTTGCAGTGATTGCAATTTGATGTCTTCTTGTTCTGTATTTCCTATAAACGGATTTAGAGGACCAATCGGATAAAGGAGTGATTTCTTTCTGGGGTGGGGCAATACTTTACAGTATCGGTGGTACTTCCAAATCTCATGATTTTCCCAGCCATTGATGAACTCTGCCTAGATACATAAAAACTGAAATACTTCTAAATACCCCATCACTTGGTTATCCTGAGATTAAAGTTTCTATTAATATAGAAAAGGCAGGAAAATGCTTTCTCTCATTTATTAATATAACAAAATAAAGGAATTGGTGTCCTCGCATTTTTCAAAGGTAACCAAAATGGTTTCAAGGGAGGTTGGTTCTAACAATCATTATGAATTAATTTCAATTGTTTCAATCCATTGCAGTTAAGGATGGTCTAATTGTCTTTGTGACTTACATTTTGAGGACACTGCTTTTGCAATTGTTGGAAAAAAGCTTGAATGAGGACTTAAGAATTTGATAGGAAGGTGAGTTAGTTTACTGAAGTAGTCCTGGAAAGAATCAAGAGTAATGCAGCAAGTGAAGACACTAAAGTTGCCAATGGATTGGATGTGAAGAATGGAAAAAGCAGTAAAGATAAGGGGCTTGAGCAACTGTCTCCAATTTGGCTGAACCTGAAAACAATGGAGACAATTATAACATAGTTTTTTGGGCATCATCACTACAGACTGATTCAACAGATGTTGTTTGAAGGCCACAGTATCTCCACTCTAGATAACTATCACATATTCCAATTGTTTCTGACCCAAATCACATTTGAGAACCATTCATACATTAAGTATTTACACTAAATACAACATGGAATCAAGTTTTTGTTAGATACATGAAGAGGTGTTTGTTGCATAGCAGAGAACTCAACTTCTATTCAGTGAAAGATTTTCAAAATACAAACTCAGCTCCTTGAGTGATATTGGAAACATTACCATAAATAACATCTATAAATATAATTATGTAGTTTTTACCTTTTTAATGTCACTGAGACTTGGGTCATGCTAAGTAAGACTTGGCTCCTTAAGTAAAATAGTCTGCCATGGGTTGCTTTTTTTTCCTGCTTATTATTACAAATACAAAAATGGATTGCAATTCATTTTTATACTTGGGTAATGTTATTTGATAACTTATTTCTCTGAGTTTCAGATGCTGAAATTCAATCTCCTTTACGTAAAAACAATCTGTAAGAAAGCAAAAAGAGGAAAGAAAATATTAGGTATTCACATCTCAATTCTCATCTCAATCCTATGACATATATACTATCCTCATTTTTTGCAGAGGAAAAGGTAGTAATGTACAAAATAATTTGTTTCAAGTATTTGTTCTAACTCCAAAGCTATGCTTGACTTTAAACAAACATAAGGTCAAAAGAGACAATATCCAAGAAATGGGCAGAAATCAGAGAAATGCTTCCCATAAATAGAAATACAAATAGCAAAAATCTGGGAAATAACACAATAATGTAAAAACTTTCATTTTGCTTGTTATGAATGGCCTTGAAATAGGATTTGGGGGCTATCTTTTACACAGACATTCCTAAATAGGAATTTATATTGTAAAACTGAATTTAAAAAAGTCAAAGATAGTAATTAAGTTGTGACTTTTGGACACAAGTCACCCTCACAACAAATAAACTATTTCTTACAAGTGTACATATAAAACTACTGTTTTCAGTTACCTTACTAACCCAGAAGTGGCAAAACCTTGCTGTGATACTGTGATGTATTCAAGGTCAACATAACCCTGTGAAGGTAAGGGCTCCCTGTGCTCGTTGCAGTTCTGCTGATCTACTTAAGTTTTGAGGCTTCTTTTTTGAGGTCCCATCTGTCAGTACTCTGCCTAAAACAAAATATATTAGCCACTGTTTATTAATAGGACCTTTGAATGCCAGTCCTTTTCTACTGAGTCACATACATGAACCCAGTAGAAGGCTACTATTTTAGCCGGTCGGAAGCCGCCTTGGCTTTTGGGTCCCTGGTTATGAACAGAAAGCTGTTTTTCAGATTTGCTACTACTACCTTGTGGCCATGCAATACACAATCCAGTTAAGTGTATTTTAGAACTCTTCACCTGTATCAGAAACAACCATAGATTCAAAGTTTTTTTTTTACAATTCGTAAATGTGGGCAGGGTAAAACCAAACACCTGTTACTTTTTTTTTTTTTTTTGCTCTCTATTATTACAAGAGAAAACCTCTATTATTATGAGAAAACCCTAACGTAGAAAACCTAACAGTTTAAGTATTTAGCGAAGGGCACTCACTATCTTTTGGAATCAGCAAAGGTGGAACTAACATGTGCATTAAGGTCTCAAGTTATGAAGCTGGGAAGGCCCTGAACTAGGCTAACAGATTTCTTTTCCTTTCCTGTGTCATCTATGGATACCGATTAAAGTGAACTATTAATTTTTCCAGGAAAAGCTACACAATTATACTTTAAGATCTTTCCCAGGGAGCCTAAAATACTAACGATCACTAAACAAGATGTGTGAGAAGGCAACAATAACTAAGATTACAAGAACATACATTAATAAAGGTGATCAATATGTCTTTTACCCTCTTGTAAATAATGGTGCATATTGGCTACAAGACAAATTTGCCTATACAAAGGTCTGATCCAGGCCTTTGGAGATGAGTAACTCCTTATTGTATCAAGGTCTGTGATTCATGTATAAAATGAATGCTTAATTCTCCATACACCTGTCTGCAAGAAGCATATTAAGTCTCACAAGACCAATTCTCATGAAATATTTACTTTTTCATTAACATTGACATAGGTCCTATTTTTTTTTTTTAATTCCACAATGTACTTATTAAGGAATAGCCATCCCGTCTCTAACAAAAACGGTAAATTAATTTAAACATTCGGGAAGCTGAATACTGGTTAATTTGCCTTTATTTTTAATAAACTAAAAAGCTGAAATGACAAGTTTACTTACGGTACATATTTAACAAGATGTGGTATCATTGCTGACTCTTTAATATCATATCTGATTACATTAAATAGCCTCTCAGAATAATGAGATTTTCAAATATGCAAAAATGCCCTAGAATTTTTAACCATGCATCTAAGGAATCATTTTGACATTTGCTGACTTTCGAAATGAAATTGCTGTGTAGTCTATTCAAGTTGGTTCAGGTTAATGGAGGTGGAATGTGCCATATATATTAAATCACATACATTAAATTCTATTTTTTCACATAGAAATCAATTTTCATATTTAGAAGTTCAAATGGGTTTAAATGTTAGAAAAATCGATTAAGAAAGCTAAATAGGGAGTTTGGAAGAGACATCTCATTTTAATTATTACTGGGAACATGAAATCACTTACCCTTTCAAAAGGAGTAAATTATTAGGGTTTCACATGCAAGACTGCTCTCCTTTATTACCATAAGGAATATTAACATGGAAGAAAACATTGTCTGCTTATAAAATTGCTAATCAAGTTTCCTCTTTGAAATAGGCATCACTGCAGGAATGTATCCCAATCGCTATTCACAAGCTCCAGTATTTTTGGCTTTTTATTGGGAAGTATCAAACTAATAAGGTACCAATTCCAGCTTGTAAGGAAGGTAGGTAACTACATACTCACAGACAAATTACTTTTGTTTTGTACTTTTTACAAATATTTTTAATATAGTTAAAAACTCCAAGTATTTGAGTTTTTAAGCCAAACATAAAATGTTTTTAATAATGTTTTAATCTTCCAAATCCTAATGAAATTTGTTAAGTAGAAAAAAAAAATAATGCAGTTGACATTCTCCAACAGAAAACATAAAATGCCTGAAGATAATTTCATTGCTAGTCACAGATAGTAACTACAGGATTATTTTCTTGATTAACTATCTCCAATCCAGAGCTGTAATTACAGCAAAATCTACAAGGTAGAGTATTATCTAATAATATCACTATACCTCATAGATATTATCACAACCTTTTTTTTTTTTTCCTGGTAGATGGGGAAATAAAAATAATTGGAACCAGTTTTTTTTTAGTTCAAGGCATTTAATAAAACTTAAAAAAATACTCTAATTTCTAAACAAAATTTCAACTGTTAATTGAGCAAAATAAAGGTGGTAGGAATATGAGTAAATTATTATTACTCATAGTACTCCCTATGTACTGTCAGTAAAAAAATAATTATGTAACAAGCATCTTCAGAGCAGTGTGAAATTTTGAAAAAAAATTTTTTTTTTCCAGAAAAAATAGTTATTAAAAGTATGGCACTGAGGAAGCTAATACATTTTTGAAACTTTTATTTATTTTAAATTTAAACAAAATCCAGTTTGAACAACAAAATTCAGTTTGAACCACAAGAGGGAACACAATGTCTTCAAGAAATTTCTAAAGCTATTATCTACATAGTAATGAAAAAGAATTAACAGCACAGCATATCGTGAAGTTTTTATTCCAGTGGTTTATGTATTTTTCATAGAATAGTTAAATTTGTTTTTTATTTAACACCACAGAACTGTTCAAAAACAGAAAGGTATTTTTAAAATGACTTGCCAAACTTATCATTATAAATGTGTTTAAAAAACACAAGTCTGGAAATGTTTCAGTAAAGAAGCAAGAGAATTTTCACCTTTACTGGTTTTGCAAGGCTTTGCCTTTGTAAGCAAGAATAGATTTGTGTTCCTTTTTGCTGAAAACTTTTTACATTTAATCTCCCTAGAGATCAGTATAGAGAGATTATGACCCTCAATTTTCAGTGTGATGCCAGTCCTAGAAGTAAATAACTTGCTCCCATAGCTAGTGAACCAATCCCAACAATCCATGCTCAACCATGGAAGAAGGTCTAATGTTTAGTTTATCAGCCCTCCCCTGCTGCAGATTACACAGCTCCCCTGGAGCAAGAAGGGGAGGGCTTATCTGTTGATAGATTTAGCATATACCTAAACAGGTGTGCTCCAGAACACAATGCCACCTTTAATCTCCTTATCTTTTGGTCAAGTCACATCTAACACTGTTTAAGTAAAATATAAAGTGTTCTTAAGTCTGTATCATCAAAAATGAAGCCTCTCCTGTTACAGTAATTAATCTCTTCTTTGGATTAAAGAGAAAAGTTTCCCTTAAGGAAATAACAGCACTGATTACCTGACTGCTAGATTTATATAACTTACTGTTTAAATGTGACTCAGAGTCATCTATAATTCTGTGTGAGTTACATTATTCAAAAAAAGTAACCAAAAAGCGACTAATTCTAGAGATAGATGCAAAGATCAATTACTTAAGTCCCAAAATTAAATCCTGATTCTAAACACAGTAACACAATTTTCCATTCAGGATTAAGAAGAGTTGTAATGGATTTTGGAGGTCATCCAGCGCAACTTCCATCCAGGTAACATACCTCTCAAATATAGTATAGTAGTCTTCTGAATTATAAAAATTTATAGTTATCTTTTTTATAAAAAGCTACATAAATAAAAATTATCTCTATATAGAAATACTCAGCAATTCCATAATTTAAATATTCAAATCAAATTGAGTAGATTGGTCCCGTTAACCCTAGACTGTTACATTTAAACAATGAATAATAGTAACACCTGATAAAAGGGAGAACACAGTGCTCTAACATAGTCCCTAACGTTTATAAAACTGCAAGTTACTTAGGTGAGTTATATCTTAATGAAACTATAAAAAACAAATAAGTAACTTGCTAGCCTGGACTTTGGTCTTTTATTTAACATTTAGTTCTATAATGTAAATGTAGTTTTTGAAAATTTAATATAAGCAGTATGTTGTATATAGTCTGTGTATATATTAATAACTTTAATAATGTGAGTATTAATAATTTTAGTAACATGAATCCACTGCATCAAAAATGGGAGGCATTGATGAATAACCAAATTTATACAACATAGAAAATAACTCTTTATTTGGTCAAAAGTATAAAAGGTTTGATCTTACTTGAAATATGAAAAAGCAGAGTACTTCAAAGATATAAGAAAATACTCAGCATTGGTAATATGAAAAATTGAGTAATTTTTTCCTCAAAAAGTTCTTTTAGGCCACAGTATATAACAGCTTGTTGCTATTTGAAGTATTAAAAATAGGTTCACATATATAAGATATTATATCAATAATACCTCTTCACTGATATAAAATGTGTCACTTTTATTAGACACACTCCCTATCTTTTATAAAACTCTATTTTTCTCATTTCCAAAACTTCTTTATATATCTGATTAGACTGACCTTACCAACATCCCACAAATTATAAATCAATTAAAGTTCTGATTTCATTAATTTTAGCTTGTTTCATTTCATTAGCATTTGTTTTTTTAGTTCCAAAGGCTCCAGCTGCAAGTTCTCTCTTTGTGTTTTGTATTTTCAGCATATTTTCTTCAACAGAGTCCTTCACAATGAACTTTAAAAAGAAAAAAAGAAGTGAAATTGGTTAAGTACTTTTTAGGTCAAAATTTTTTAAATCTAACATTTAAAAAAAAATGAAATTTTGAGACATGATGGAAATGTTGGTATACGATAAAGAAATTTACTTTCTTGAAGTATTCAGCTTTCAAAAACTGCCAATAATAATTGATTACAAAATGTTTAGCTGTTCTTTTCCCCTCTATATATAGTGAGAATATTTAGAACATGACATAATGCTTAGAGATGAGCACTGTTTTCCACTATCACTCAGTATGGTTTTCTTGTGTAAGAATATGGATCTAAGGACGTAAGTTTTATCTTATATCCCCATCACCAAACAATAACAGCACACTGAAAAAAAAAGCAAACTTTATAGGCAATTCTGCAAAACAAATTTGGACTCAAATTAAAAGTGCTAAACGAGATTTTCCACATGAGAAATACAAGAATGAACCTAACTGGTATAATTAATTCATAACAGCAAAAAAAAAAAAAAGGAAAAATGTGATCATTTCAACAGATGCTTAAGAAGCATTTGGTAAAAGTCAACATTTATTCCTGATAAAAATATTGATAAAAAAAAAAAATCGGAGCCTCCCCTGGTGGCGCAGTGGTTGAGTGCTAGGCCGTGAAGCTGCCCGCAGCCTCTGCAGCGCAGGTTCAACCCCTAATCCCCAGCCACCGGTGAAGGTCCCACATGGCTCACAGACCTCTCCTGCAGCGCCCGCTGCTCCCCTCAGCAGTATGTTTCGTCAGTCTGCCTGTTCTGTTCCCCGCTCTGGCTCTGGTGAATCCTCTCACCCACCTGTGCTTCTGACTGTACCCAGTGCTTGCATAAATAAATAAATAAATAAATAAATAAATCCTTAAAAAAAAAAAAATCCCCATTAAACTGAAAATAAATATCCTCAACCTTACCAAGGGCATCTGCTAGACAATCCACCAAACATATTTAGTGTAACACAATAAAAGTATTCTCAACAAAGAAGTCAAGGACGATTACTAACACAACTACTATTCAACAAAGAGGTCCCAATTACTCTAACAGCTATATTAGTTGTGTTATAAAACATTACTGAACTACATAAAAGACCCAAATAAAATGAGAAAGATACAAGATTTCTTAAATAGGACTTGGTAACTTAAAACCAAAGTCCAATTCAAGAGTAACAGTAATAAGCAATACGATTTTCAAAAGGGGTGAAGTGAGTGCTGACTTAATACATAATAAGAATGCCACAGTAATTATAATGTAGGAAAAGATCAATGGAACAGATAAGAGTCCAGAAAGAGACCCACGTAACAATGACTTAGTTTATGATAAAGGTGACATCTCAACTTTAGGGGAAAAAAAATGAACTCTTAAAAATGGTCATGAAGCAAATGATTCTTCATTTGAAAAAGAACAGTTAGCCCCCTATCATGAATTATAGAAGAAAAACTATTTCAAAAGAATCAGATAAATACAGAATCATTTTTAGAATCTGAAGATAAAGACTTCTGGCCTAAGCAATACCTCAAAATCCAGAAATTATATTAAAAAATGCTATGTTTTTAATCACAAAATTTCAAAAATTTTTTTATGATAAAAAGCATACAAAGTTTAAAGATAAGCAAGAGCCTAGAATTAACCATTTCCAATATATGTATGTATGAAGGAGTCCTTTTTACCATAAAACAGTATTTCTGCTTTAACTATGAAAACTAGACAAAAGGTATAAACAAACAATTCACAGAAAAAAATACTAATGGATAACAAATATGTAAAATATGCTGAAGCTAGTCTTAGGTAAATGCAAAGTAGAAGGGCAAAGAGCACTTCGTTGGCCTCCACATAAACCTAATTTTGCATCATTCTCATACATCAAGTTGAAAGAAACTTGTTACAAGAATTTGATATCTAGAATTCTAGATCTGTTAATATCATCAAAGGTAATGCCTAATAAAAACAGTACCATACTATTGGAATGGTACTGTTTTTATTAGCAAAAACTTGGACTGGCTAAATAAATTGTGATGTATGTATTTTGCAGTTACTAAGAAGAATGAGTTTGCAGAGTAGATTCACAGAGACAGAAAATAGAAGAGTGAGTTACCAGGGGCTGAGAGGAGGAAGGAACGGTGTGCTTTAATTGGTACAGAATTTCAGTTTGAGAATGATGGAAAAGTTCTGAATACAGATGATGATGACGACTGAACAATAAAGTGAATGATGCCAATGAACTGTATACTCAAAAAGTTAAAATGGTAAATTAAGTTATGTGTATTTTGACACATAGAAAAAAAAATATGTATGATCTAAATGAACCTTTATTAGTAGTATCCAGATACACTGTTAAGGGAAGACAAAACGTGTTCCAGAATAATAAAAATATGATCCTATTTACCTTAATTTTTTTTTAAAAGATTTATTTATTTATACAAGCACTAGGTACAGTCAGAAGCACGGGAGGGTGAGAGAATTCACCAGAGCCAGAGTGGGGAACAGAACAGGCAGACTGACGAAATACACTGCTGAAGGGAGCAGCGGGCACGGCAGGAGAGGTCCGCAGGCCATGTGGAACCCTCACCGGTGGCCGGGGATCGAACCAGCACTGCAGAGGCTGTGGGCAGAGCCCAGCGCCCAACCACTGCACCACCAGGGGAAGCCCCTTACTTAAATTTTTTTTTTTTTTTTTTTTTTTTTTTTTCCCTTACTTAAATTTTTTAAAGAAGAGCTGCAGATACAAACATGAACGTATTTAAACATAGAAAAGGGGGATTGTGGGGTCTGTCTTCCAGGTGGCGCAGTGGTTGAGCACTGGGTTGCGAAGCTGCCCGCAGCCTCTGCAGCACTGGTTCAATCCCCAGCCACGGGGTGAGGGTCCCACATGGCATGCGGACCTCTCTTGCTGCGCCCACTGCTCCCCTCGCAGTGTACTTCGGTCCTTCTGCCTGCTCTGCTCCCCGCTCTGGCTCTGGTGAATTCTCTCACCCTCCTGTGCTTCTGACTATACCCAGTGCTTGTATAAATAAATAAATAAATCTTTAAAAAAAAAAAAGGGAGGGGGACTGTGAATAACTACTGATGACAGTTTCCTCTAAGGAAAATAAAAGTGACAATGTGTTACTGTTTAATTCTATTTTAATCTTTTACAAAAATATATGCAGGCATTATTTGTGTAATTTTAAACTTCAACCTATTTTTTTTTCATTTTTTTTTTTTTGGTTTCTTCAGGTTTTTTTTTTTTTTTAATTTAAATTTTATTTTTATATTCCCCATACAATTACAACCCCCTTATTTTGACCCCAATCCCTCCTTTTCCTGCCCCCCACTCCCCATAGAGTGTCTCTGGTTCATAGTTGTTTGTTGATTTTGATATTTTCTTTCTTATAGTTATTCTTTTTACTGGTCCCTTATTTAAGTTTTCTAGATTCCTGCTATGAGTGAGACCATCTGGTATTTTTCTTTTTCTTTCTGGCTTATTTCGCTGAGCATGATCCCTTCCAGCTCCATCCATGTTGCTGCAAATTGCATGTGTTTATCTTTTTTGAATGCTGAGTAATATTCCATGGTATATATGTACCATATCTTCTTGATCCAGTCTTCCATTTTTGGGCATTTGGGTTGTTTCCAAAGCTTAGCTATTATAAATAGGGCTGCTATAAACATAGGGGTGCAGGTGCTCTTTGGAATTGATGTTTCTGTGTCATTTGGGTAAATACCTAGGAGTGGAATTGCTGGATCATATGGAAGCTCTATGTTTAGTAGATCCAGAAATCTCCACACAGCTCTCCATAGTGGTTGGATCAGTTTGCACTCCCACCAGCAGTGCAGGATAGTTCCTTTTTATCCACAACCTCGCCAACATTTGTTGTTGCTCGTTTTTTTAAATATGTGCCATTCTCACTGGTGTAAGATGGTATCTCATTGTAGTTTTGATTTGCATTTCCCTGATTACAAGTGATAATTTTAAAATACATAATTTAAAAACTCACTTTTGTGATGATAACTTCTTGTTTCTGGCCAAGTCTATGGCATCTGTCAAAGCACTGATCTTCAGCAGCTGGATTCCAGGCCTAGCAAAAAAGCATGAGTTGATTTATTACCACCCTAATCTCCTCAGTATTCTGCAAAAGTCCATTTCAGCATTATTCATTCACCTTTTACTGCTGAAATTTTTCTGAGTGAATTTAGATACTGACATTATAAATACACTATAAGAAAAAATCTACCACCCGCCCCCTGAAGCCCAATCACTACTATGATAGGTATTCTCCCCCATCATTTCAGGGGCCTAATACAAATCACTGTTGGTTATTAAAATAATATCTTCCCATTTTTCCATTTTAAAGTAGATCTATGTCCAGTTATCAGGAAAAAAACATTTCCACATTCTTTTAGATTACTCAATGTTAGAAAAGGCATGTTATTGAGTCCATTTATGAAGTTTTCTTCCATTTTGCTGACCACCTTTGGTTCCTTTTCTTTTATTTTCCTCCTCTTACTAACTACAAAAAAGGTTTCTGGAGTAGTCAAAAAAACTAAAATTATTTAAGACTTTTTAAAATATAAGACTGCTGATGTAACTTTCTATCTTAGTTAGACTTCAAAACTCAACTAAAAAAGTAACACTAATTAACATAGGCATTATAATGGATCCTGTCTTAAAGTGAAGAACAAAACAAGCAATGAGAAAGGAAGAATAAACAAGATACAGAGTTCATCAGTCTAGAAATACAGGAGGTTAAGTGGCTTTGAAATATGAACTGTTGGGATAAGGATCATTGTATTTTAAATTGAAGTTGGAATACAGGGTGTTTTGGGGGGAACAAACATTTATACAACAAAATACCACCTAAAAATAGAAACAAAATCACAAATGTACATGTAGATGACAAGTTTAGTATGTAATTTATACTTAGGCTGTTATTTTCTTCTTTAAGTTCCCTTGAAATTTAGGGAAAAGGAAATTTTACTGTTATCTTGCTGTAATTTGGGTTAGGGACTATTCTTTGGTATATGTTAGAATTATGAATATAATTAGATTATGATTTTCTAAAACAGACAGAAATATTGTATTTCATAATTGGACATTTCAAAACTGTTATTCCAAGAGTCCAGATAAAATGTTCCTGTCTGTTGCCAATATTTTGCTTAGAACCTTATAATGAACTGGCAATATACATCTAGTGTGACGAATAAAATTTTGTCTTATAAGAACATAAAACTGATCATTCCCATTCTCACATTTAGTGACTGAGGAATCAAGTAAAGCTGTTCCTAATGGAACAGCAGAACACAACCTAATTCCTTTACAAGATACCATGAGAAGTAAAGAATTTTCATGTGCAAACTTTTTTGACTGAATCTTATATTCCTGAGACTTGGCTTTTTTTTTTTTTTTTAAAGATTTATTTATTTATACAAGCACTGGGGTATAAGCCAGAGGCACAGGAGGGTGAGAGACTTCACCAGAGACAGAACAGAGAGCAGAACAGGCAGACGGACCAAAAACACTGCTGAGGGGAGCAGTGGGCAAGACAGGAGAGGTCTGCCGCGTCATGTGGGTATCTCCCTGGCTGGCCGGGAATTGAACCTGCATTGCAGAGGCTGTGGACAACTTCACAGAGCTGTGCTGAGACCTGTTTGGTTTTTTTTACCCCTTTCCGCAAATGATTTGTTTTTGTTTGTTTTTTTTAAGATTTATTTTATTTATTTATACAAGCACTGGGTACAGTCAGAGGCACAGAAGGGTGAGTGAATTCATCAGAGCCAGAGCGGAGAGCAGAACAGGCAGACTGACAAAGTACACTGCTGAGGGGAGCAGTGTGCGGCAGGAGAGGTCTGCGCGCCCTGTGGGACCCTCCCCCAGCGGCTGGGGATTGAACCGGTGCTGCAGAGGCTGTGGGCAGCTTTGCAATCCAGGGCTCAACTGTTGCACCACCCGGGAGGCCCAACTTTGCAGATAATTTAAGAAAGGCATGGACTGACTCGTTTTTTTGGAGCTAAGATCAGAGAAGCAGGGCATCACATCTGGCTGGTTTATGTACTATTAAATGTTTTCAAACTTAGTGGAAGCCAAAGTAAAGGCTTCCTCAAAAATTGACAATGTCCCTTTTCAGTCAACTTCCAGAAGGAGGACTGAGGCTGTCAGCTGGACCTATCCTGCAAGCTGACAGGCTTTTCTCAAAGCTGTACAGGACAGAAACCATGACAGACAGTATTCTTCTAGCTTTCTGGAAAAATGAGAAATGCCTCCTAGTTGCTGGGGCAAGAGGCAAACCACTTCTGAGGCAAATGCTCACCAAAGGAAGGTGGCATTAACTCCAACACTGTGGGCTTTGAGCAGTTGTCAAAGTATCTCTTTGAGGAATGGCTGAGCAGAAGGGCGTGTGCTTGCCAGATCCTCCTCTTAGCAGGTTCTGGAAACTCCAGTTTTGGAGGAAAAGGGAACATTACTAGAGTTTACAACATCAATATGTTGGGCTCAATATCTGGACCATCTTTAACAGGGCTGATTTTTTCCCTCCCAGATGTAGTTTTGGTGGCTCAAGTATTCAAAGCCATTATCTGGCAAGATTACAGGTTTATTATAAAAGGATATAATTCAAGAACATTCTGATGTGCAGGGCAAGGTGTGTTGAAAGGGGCACTGAGCTTCCATGCCCTCTTTCAAGATGTACCACTCTCCTCAAATTTCCAATTATTCATTAACTCAGAAGCTCCCTGGCTTTTGTTTAAAGTTAGAAACATAATGGAATACTATTCAACTATTTTTAAAAATAAAACAGAAAAGATAAAATACTGCCCTTGCAACAACATGGATGTACCTAGAGGGTATTATGCTTAAGTAAATAAGCCAGAGAAAGACTAACGCCATATGATTTCATTTGTATGTATGTGTATACGTGTGTGTGTGTATAATAAAAAAACGGATAAACAGATAAAACAAAAATACACTCAAGATTAATTAGTGGTTACAAGAAAGGAACCAGAAGGGCAGGGGAAAATAGGGAAGGTAAATCAGGACAAGGAGAACAATGGCATGGTGACAGACAGGAGTGGATGTTTAGTGATGTAGTATATATACATGTTGATTCTCAATGATGCAAACCTGGAACATGTTACAATGAAATGTTATTTCCAAAAAAGGTCATAAATATTCAATACCCTGAAATATTTAATGAAACTGCTAAATCATTCTAAGTTTTCAAGTACTGTTAACTGCTAAGTTAAACTACTTATTAACAAACTCTTTTTTACCAAGTACTGAGATTGTAATCAAAGAAAACTCTGAATCTGTTCCAAAAATCAGCCTCCATCAGGTTAGTTAATAACTTAAGTTACAACGTATTTTTTAATAATAACCATAAAATAGTAAAACTCTAGCAGAGTTCTAAAACCAAAAAAACAATAAACCACTACATGCCAACATATTAATGTGAAATATTAGTATGATTAGGCCTAATTATACTGGGAGGCAGTATAATTGAGGCAACAAAAGCCTTGATTGATAAAGGTATATGCATTAACTAGATAACCTAATTAAAATAATTTGTATCTCAGTAAAATTTCATTTACTTTTCTGCATTTCAGGCAATAAGCTAAAATAACAAATCTTAAATCTGTAAATGTACAGAAATACCACAAGATTGACATTAGCTCAAATAGTACCCAATGCAAAATGAATTAGTTCAGTGTGCCTCTAGTCAAAACAGTTCTTTTGTGTAATTAGAAAAAGGTGCACCTCAGGGGACTGTGGTAATGGTGCAAGGGTGCACTGGTGAAGGAAATTCTATGGGGACTGCACAGGGGGGAGGGGAAGAGTAAATATTGTTTAAAAATGAACAATGATGTAAAAAATAATAATAATAATAATAAAAGAAAATGAGGGAAAAAAAGAGAAAGGAAAAGGTGCTCCTAACATGAACACACTTCCAAGACACAGAGTTTGGTGACTAAAGTTCAGAGCGAATTTCAATTCCCACTCTGTTCCCTCAGCCTGCATTACATAACCAAGTGACTGCCCTAAAATTTACCAAGCTGAATTTCTCCAGGAGAGAGGATAGATCTTGTGCTCAATGTTGCATACTATTTTTTTAATAACATACAATATCCAACCACATGGTCAAAAGATGGTATCTCCTGACAATCAGTCTCTTGATTATAACTAATCTTGGTGCTTATATCCTGTTATTTCTTCTCTGCAACACTTAGCTATTATTCCATGATCATCCATTAATGAAACATCCATAATAATGAAACCACCATACTTTTTAAAGAATCAAACCTACAAAGAGGTAAGTTAGTGTCTAGTCATTACCATAGGTAAGTATTCCCATAAGGTTCAGTGAGAGGTCACAGCAAGTTACAGGACAACAAAGGAAAATTTCTAAATGACGGGTTTCAAATGATCATAAATGTGTTGTCCTTTATATTTTTCACTGATATGCTGACCTCCTAGATTTAGAGGCCTTCGTCATCAACTTGTACATAACCACACACATAAACATCATCTCTGGAAGAATCCTACCCCACTTGCAAGTCATTCTTTTCAACACATAAATGGCATCCTTCCTTATCATTATGATGTCACTGCACAAGCTAATTTATTTAGGTTTGTATATCTTTGTCATATATGGACAATTTCCATTCATGATAGCTGGTTTCCTGATTCTCAAACATTAAGGCCACATAATAATGGCTCAGTTAATCATACAGATCATCACCTGTTCTTTGATACAACTATGTACAGTATTTCACATTGTGGAATAGAACTGAAGACTTTTTTAAACATCCTTCCTTCAAAGAAGGGAAGGGACAATGTAGTTAAGTCAAGATGACAGAAAAAATTGCAATAGCCATGCTAGAAATTGTCACAAAAATGAGAAAATCTAATGGTTAAAATACTAGGTTTGGCTCTAAGAGACAACTGTGTCTCTCTAGCCAGGGAACCAATGTTAAAAAAGAAAATAAATTATTGAGGAGACTGGGTTGTTCTTTTGCCTTAATCCACTCATATTCACTAAAACTAACTGTACTTATTATAATAACAAGGCTATGGACCATAACAACAACAACAAAAAATACTACTAAAGTGTAAGTATAAAGGTGGTTTCTTGTTTCAGGGATGGTTGAGTCTTCATTGCTGGTACAGTAATGACTATATGTAGCTCAATGTTCAAATAAAAATTATCTGTGAAAAATATATATGTAATATGTAAGTGGCTATGCAAATGGCCTAGTAAATAGAGTATAGTAAGATTATTATCTTCCTATACTTAGGAAGTTTGTTCTCTGGGACACTGTCAAATATTACATTTCACTGATAAATAAACTGGAATTATTTAAATAAATTTTCCCAAAACATTCCATTAGTAGTATTTGCTTAAAATTGTGTGGTTGGGTCACCTGTACTTAAATCACCTACCATATAAATGCACAGCTTCCTGCTCATCCAAGAACTCATTATCTTGGAGGATAGTTCAGAAATTATATTTTATTGAATGCGTATGCACATTAAAACTTTTGAATATGGTTGTAACTACTTTTTCTATTTTGCCTGAGAGTCATATTCCCAGTGTCTGCAAGATTCCTAACACAAAGCAGGATCTCATTATTTGTTGATCAAATACATCAACCATTACCCTAAGCTAATCAAAATTGTACAAAGAGAAGCAGAAAAAGCACAGCACAGTGGTCAATAACATTGTTTCTGATCCTTGCTTGCACGTTAGTAGCTATGAGTAAGTTATTTCTATGAACAAGTTATTTCTATGCTTCAATTTCCTAACCTGTAAAACAGAGAGACAAACCTCATAGGGAATCTGGAGGATTTCAGTTGATAAATAAAGCATTTATGAGTAAGACCTCATTATACATTTACTAAATAATTACTTCTAATGTTTACCTAAGAATTTTCAGTCAATTCTAACCACGAAGGTATTATCGAACCCTCCTTCCCCCCCCCCCTCTTTTTTTAAATGTAGTAACATACCAAATTCAACAAAATTACTTACTGGGTCCATTAAAAACACTCGAGAAGCTGCAGAAAGATTCAAACCAACTCCACCTGCTTTTAAGGATAGGAGCATTACAGTTGGAGATCCTGCTTCAGTGTTTTGAAAACACTGAATTGATTCAACTCTTTTCTTTTGGGCCATAGAACCATCCAAACGAGTAAACACAAATCCAGAGGCTCTAACACAGGGGGCGAAAAAGAGACCAGTAAAACACATACCATACTAGAAAAATGTTAAATATAATTACAAATCTCTGTACTCATTAAATTCTATCATTTATTCTGACAAGTACTTACTAACCGCCTACTAACTTGCCAGGCTCTTATAGACAACTTTCCCCACCCTGGATAAATACAGGACTTGCTGTTATTTCATCTTTAAAATTCTAACTGCCAGGAAATATCATGCCTGTTGTGACAATGTTATTTTAGATAGATGAAATGAGTAAAACTGGTTAAAATAATTATCCCATTAAAATCAAAACACTTATATAAAATCCTTTTACTCAGTGAAAAAGAATGCTGAACTTACCTAAGTGGTGTCTCTATTAAAGACAGGAATGTCGTAAACTGAGAAACAACTAAACTTTTTATGTTTGGGTTCTTCTTCCTTAGGTCAATTAATGCATGCATTAGAGCATTAATCTGGGGGGAAAAAAGGAAATCTATTAAAGATTCCATACTAAATAGGTAAAATATACCCACAAAATTCTGTTATAAAGAGAAAAGTCCTGTCACAGATTTCCTTAAAACTCAAAACTAAAAGACCACTAATTTTTTTAAAACTAAGACTGGAAAAATACTAGAGTAATCTGAACTCTTTTCTTTTCCTCAAATTCACCACCAGAAATCAACAAAAAACACAGTAACCACCAACAAAGTATAATATTCAAATGATAGGATTAAAAGCAGAAGTACTACTTTCATAGGTGGTATTTCTTTATATATATATATATATATATATAAAACATACTCAAATAATATGCATGTGTGGTTTTACCTTTGAACTGGATGTCCATTCCATATTAGACTTTTTCTCAGTGTTGCATGCCAATTCTTCTGGAGGACATTCTAATAGATTGTCTCCATGTATATCATTTCTGCATAAAGGGCATTTAGCATGTGGCTAAATAATAAAGAAAGTGTAAGTGACACCAAGGGAAAAAGAAATATAAATCTGCCTAAAATATTTTTTATAGTATGGTAAATCCTGTACCCCTAAAAGTTAGCTTTCTATTAAACCCATTTGAGATAAATCTGTATATGATCCATTCCGGGCAGATACAGTGTTCAAGCTAGTAAAATGGGATGGGTTATAAAAGAGAACAAACATATAATTTGACTAGCATCAAGAGCTTGAAACAATAAATATTATACTACTTGTAGGCAAGTAAAGAAACCATGAATAACAATTTCTTGATCCTAACTACAACACAGCATAGTAGTTGGAATCATTCTTTAGAAGAAGAAAAAAAAAATTTCTTAATGGCTTATATACCAGGCCATATCTAGTAAGTCTTACTGGGTGTATTCAAAGCTTTATTGGTAGTATTCATTTATAATAAAGACATGCTAATAAAATAAGATATCTCTTAAAAATCTATATGCCAAGTACCTTTACCTTAAAAAAAGATTTTGGAACAAAATAAAATAAATTAAAAAAAAAAAAATTTTGGAACTAAAACTGGATCAGAAGTCAGTATAGCGAGGTCACCTTTAGAGACAAATAAGAGGATAAATGGGAGGGAATACAAGGAATCTGGAGTGGTAGTTATATGGTCTGTGTTTACTTCACAATTCATTAAACTGTACAATTATGACTGTTGTTTTTTTCAATATATATAAATATAAATGCTTTTAAAATTCTATCTCAGCTGAAAGACTGCTTTAAAGATTATTTCACATTAAAATTTTTATCATACACAAGAAACTAGATGTGTATTACCCCTATAATAATGCACAGCCACATGTGGCAATTAAGTCTTTGAAATGCAGCAAGCCAAATGGAGATGTGCTATAAGTGTATACCACCAGATTTTGAATATTTAAGCTAAAAAAATCATGCAAAGTATCTCAATAATTTTTATATTTCAGATATGTTGGCTTAATTATTATCAAATGTATTATAAGAATAAACTTCCATCTCCTCTAGGAAACTCTATGGGGACTAAACCTGAGGGGGTGGGGGGAAGCAAATATTGTTTAAAAATGAACAATTATGTAAAAAAATTAATCAAAAAAAAAATAAATCTAATATATTAAAAAAAAAAAGAATAAACTTCACTGGGCCTCCCTGGTGGTGTAGGGGATAAGTCTCAGTGCTATCACCTCTGCAGTCTGTGTCTGATCCCTTGTCAGGGAGCTAACACTCATATGGCTCAGCAGTCTCACCCTGTGCTCCCCTTAGCATTGTATTTCAGTAAATCTACCTGTTCTCCCCACTCTATCTCTGGTGAATTCTCTCACCCCTCTGTACCTCTGGTGTGCACCCCAGTTCTTCTATGCAAAGTAAGAAAAAAAATTTTTTCAAGAATAAACATCTGGGGGCCTCCCTGGTGGTGCAGGTGGTTGAACACAGGGCTGTGAAGTGGTCTGCAGCCTCTGCAGTGCCAGTTCAATCCCCACCAGCCTTGGAGCAACCCACATGGCGAGCAGACCTCTCCTGTCTCGCCCGCTGCTCCCCTCAGCAGTGTATTTCGTCAGTCTGCCTGTTCTGTTCCCTGCCATCTCTGGTGAATCTTCTCACCCTCCCGCACATCTGGCCTGTACACGGGTGCTTGTATAAAAAAAATAAATGAATCTTATTTAAAAAAAGAATAAACATCTGTTTCTACTGGTAATTCAAAATTAGCCTGTGTGTCTTACATTATCAATTTATTTACTGGACAGCAATGACATAGCCAGTCAATATAACTAAGATACTGACTATGAAACAGGGCCTCCAAAAGTATCTTTTTATGTTAAAAGGGCTTACCTATAAGAAACATAAACCTTTTAAAATACTGATATAATGACCATGAAAGGCACATTAATAAACCCAAATGCAAAACATATAGTATGTTGGACTTGGGCTTTCATTATACAGGTGCACCACTCCATCAAAGCTAAATCTGTACAAACAAAAAACTAACCTGCTCATTCTGAATGACCTGGCAAATACAGGGTTTACAAAAGACATGTGCACAATGTGTTATGACAGGAACTGTTAAAGAATCCAAGCAAATTGCACATTCTTCATCGGAACCTGAGCTCAGAATCAACTTCATCTTCCTTATTAATTTCTTTTGTAGTTCTTCAGGTGTATCATTTCCTAAAGAAAAGGCTGAAAAATTAATTTCAGAGCAATATTTGTAATATCACAAGACAAATTGATCTTCCTTATACAAGGAAAAGTTTTGCTCGGGTGGTCTAAATTTAGTCTTTATAATAGGGAAAAAGCATAGTTTAAATTTTAAATTTTAAGAAAAAGTCAGAAGTTAAACTGTGTCTAACCCAAATAATACATCTTACCTAGAAACATCATTATAACATGATTTGTACCTACAAGCACAGATTAAAGGACAGATTCATTCTGAACCTTTCATCTAAGAGTATCCATCATTGAAAAATCTGCAAAGACATCTTCATTAATCTTAACCATCACCATCTCCTAACTTACTGCCACTGCTTTAAGTCTTTGTTCCTACAATCTAAATTTTAACACAGCTATCAGAGATCCTTTTAAAGTACAAATACGATTATGTCACTCTCCTATAAAGCTTTTCCTTGAATATTAATATTCAATTTAATTGGTAAGAGATTCTCAGGTATTTTTCTCAGTTGAGTCCTGTATTAAAAACAATGTTCATTTGACAGAATAAAACAATAAACTAAACTCAGACCATATAAAAACTTTATCACTCAGATTTAAGTATCTGTAATAAATATAAGGATGTAAACAAGTCATACTTACTTACCTGAGGTACCACTGGAAGACACTGCATTTGTAAGAAGGTGAGTATGACAACATATCTGCCGTAATCTAAGCAAAAGACCCAGGACATCAGCATAGTGTGCAAGGACGGTTCCTTCATTAAAATACCTACAGGTAACAATGTTAAATATTGTGAATGCCCCTAAAAAATAGTATCTCCAATTCTAGAACAGTTGAATAAAAAATGGCATTGCTTGCTCCTTTCTCTGCAATCACTTCGAAAAAAGAATGGAAAACAAAAGAAGCAAATCTAATAAAACCAGGACAGATTTGTAACAATAAGGCAAAGTATTGTAAATGGTTACAAATTACAGTAAAAGATAGGAAGATGCTGAGACCTATGACTACAAATCTCAAACACATGTGCTAGAGCACAGTTCTCCAAAATAGACAGCATGCCCTAAGAGGAAATACATCATCTCTCACATGTGCAAAAACAAAAACAGGGTACATGGTCAGTGGCTTAAACTTCCCTAGAAAGTTTTACATCAAAGAGGAGGGAAATGAAGCTGAATAAGAAAACAAAAAATTACTATGTTTTCAGAAAAGACTATGAGCATAGCATTCTGAATTGGTAAGCAATCAAAAATTTCTATGTTGTAATAATTATAACAGTGTAATCCCCAGAGAAAGAGGAGGTTCTAGGTTTCCTAAACCAACCTAAGGAAGGGTAGAGTAGGGTAAGGAAGGGTAGAGTAGGGCAAGGAAGAGAAGCTAGGAAACACTGGACAGGGTGAGGGGGACGAAGGGAAAACCTGGAAGAGGTTCACGGAACAGAGAGACATGTGAAGAAGCCATGCTTACTTCTCAGCCTTGGACTTGTACCAGGGACTATGGCGACTTGAAAGAGACAGAGACTTGAGTGAGAGACCTGTAGAGAGTCTGACAATGGCAGCCATTATCTTGAGTTCTATTTTGATTCTGCTCTTTTCCTTCCAGACTTGCCTGGTCCCTTCTGGTCCCGATCCTATGGGTTCCCACTAGAAGGTGCCTTAGACTTGTGGTAAGCTTTCAGGCCTCCCAGCTTTGGGTCAACCCCGTTTGGCCAGACATTTATTTTACCCACAGGGGCTGGGTAACTCTGGGTGTTTAACTGGAAACTATTTAACTATATTCTGTCTCTTCTCTCTATTGCACACTAATTTTAACAAAGTTCTTTTCTATTAAAGATTTTACACACTAAGAGCATGTTTTATTTTTTGCAGTAGATGGCAGAACCTATTTAGAGTATACGGTTTGGAGAGGCTGGTGTGTCCCTCAACCTGCCTGCTAACACAACTGACTATGCAACATTCACATTTAGAAATGTCAGCAATATCATATAATCAATGTGTACAAAACTGAGTTACTAATAATCCCTGAAAAACCTCTCCTCTTCCCATAGACTTATTTCTGCAAATAGCAATTCTACCCTTATAGACACTCAAGTGAAAGACTTTGGAATTATTTTTTCATTCCTGTCATGCCCCTTACTGTATCAATCAATAAGTTGTTGGGTCTCCTCCAAACACAACAGAATCCATCCATCTCTCAGGTTCTCTCATCACTATTATGTAGTAAAAACTAACATCATCTCTTAATTTACGCCACTACTGTAGGTCTTTATTTTTACAATCTAAATTTTAACACAGTAGTCAGTGATCTTTTTAAAGTACAAATAAGATTATATCATTCTCCTGGTCCAAAACCCTTAAAAGGTTTCCAATCTCTTAAAAAATAACAGCCAATATGTCATAATGCCTTACATAATTGTCATCTGTCCAAACTCCATTCCTCTCTGACATCAGCAACTCCTTTCCATCTTGTTGATATTATCTAGTCACACCATTTTCTTGGTTGTTCTTCAAGTTCACCAGGTATGCTCCCAACTCAAGGCCTTACCTGCTGTTCCCACTGTCTATAATGTTTCCTCAACCTCAATCTCCTGTAGGGCTTCCATATAATTATTTTCTCAATGAGGTCTCCCCTGAATACTCTATTAGAGTAGCTCTGTACTCTCTATTTCCCTTCTCTCTGCTTTCCTTTTTTTGCATAAACTTTATTTTTATCATGTTTCCTCCCACTGAAATGTCTGTCCTGAAAGACAGAGATTTTTGTTTATTTTATTCCACTGCTAACATATCCAAAGCTGGGCCTCTTAGGCACCAAAAGAATAATAGTGACTGAAACATAACAACACAAAACAAAACAAAGCAAAAACAGACAATTATAACTCAGAAACACACTGCTGGGGAGAAGGAGGGAGAGGGATCGGAGGGAAGGAGGAGTACAGGGGACTGTAGAGATGGTACACGGGTACATTGGTGAAGGAAATTCTATGGGGATTACACCTGAGGGGGTGGGGGAAGCGAATATTGTTGAAAAATGAATGATGATAGAAAAAATGAAAAATAAAGTTCCTTCTACTTCTAAGGTTGAAGGGGCAATGGAAAGAAGAGTCTTCCAATTAGGTATCAAATTCTTATAAATGTATTTTCAATGTTCTTCAAAAAATAAAAAGAAACATAAGAACTTAATAAATTCTAGCTGAAAACATTAATTTGAAGGAAATCTCAATCACCATTGCAAAGATTTTGAACTCAATCTCTTGCTTATAATAATGTTTCTCAATCATTAACTCTTACTAAACCGGGCCTCCCCAATGGAGCAGCGGTTGAGCGCTGGGCTGCGAAGCTGCCCGCAGCTTCTGCAGCACCAGTTCGATCCCAGGCCACCAACGAGGGTCCCACATGGTGTGCAGACCTCTCCTGCTGCACCCGCTGCTCCCCTCAACAGTGTACTTTGTCAGTCTGCCTGTTCTGTTCCCCACTCTGGCTCTGGTGAATTCTCTCACCCTCCCGCGCTTCTGACTGTACCCAGTGCTTATATAAATAAATAAATAAATCTTAAAAAAAAAAAAAAACACAAAAAACTACTAATTCCTACTAAACCAATTGAATTCATTTACTTATGTTTTGAAGAATGAATCCGGTATTTTCTCAGCTCAGTTGTTCTGCCTTCACTTGTCTCCTACTCATTCTGATTCTTATGGGTATTCACAAACATGCTCTTGAACTAGGATTTATCTTCTGTCTATCTCTAAAATCTACTTTGTGACCTCTTAGTTCTAGATTTTCTCCTGTTACTGTAAGGTCACACTGACTTAATTGCATATATTCAATACTATGTGAAGCATTACCATGTTATTTATGATGGTTGCAATTTCAATCTACCATCCTCAATTTCCCACAACCTTATTCTACAGACTCTTCCCTCATGGTTCACTGATTATACTCTTGATATTATGTATCCCCACACCAGGCTTCATTTTTCCCTACCTATCTGCCTTACTTTTCCTTGTACCTTAGTCACTTTCACATTCTTTTCCTCTGAAGGCAGTTATTCAAATAAAGTTATCCAAAAATTGATTCGCCCATCAATCATATTTAATGGCCTCACTTTTTTCCTTTCAAAGACAAACAGTGGCAAAAATGATCTAGCTATAAACTTCTACTTCTTTGTAATCCCCTTCCTCCTACAATTTGGCCACAACATTCCCATGAAAATTATTCTGAGAGTTTGTACCAGTAACTTCAGAGTCACCCTTTGGAGTTATTAAATAACCTTTCCTATGTATGCGTATGACATCCTCTCTTTCTTGATTACACTTTTTTCTTCCTGCTGTCTACTGCTTTATTCCTACTTTCTCCTCTTGAAAAAATATAATGGCTACTAAGCAGAAACTCAGATTTGCCATTTCACGTAATTTTTCAGTTTTTCCTAACTTAAGAAATTACTTCCCTGGTGAAATATAGTACTTCATTCACTACAACTATTCATTTGTAAAAAGCAGTTTAAAAAATAGTGAAAGGGCCTCCTCAGTGGTGCAGCAGGTTGAGCGCAGTGCTGTAAAGCTGTCCACAGCCTCCTTGGCGCCATTTTGATTCCCACCTGGCCCAGGCACGACAAGCCTCTCCTATCTTGCCTGCTGTTCCCCTCAGCAGTGTATTTCGGTCCTTCTGCCTGGTCTGCCCCCTGTTCTGTCTCTGGTGGATTCTCTCACCCTCCCGAGCCTCTGGCCTGTACCTCAGTGCTTGTATAAATAAATAAATCTTTTAAAAAAATAGTGAAAGAAATGATTTATTCTTCAGACTTTACTGCTAACATACCTTAAAATTACCATTTAGTTAAATGGGAAACAAGGAAAAATTATGTTTTGAAATGACTGTTTTTCTCCATACCTTCCAATAGTAGCTCTGCCTTCATTTTTCACAGACTGATAAATCTTTCTCTCTTCATCTGAAAGTGTAATGTGCTGAATAAATACTTTACGTTCTGGTAACTCCAAAACAGGTTTTCCTTTAATTTTGCTTGTCTTTGTTCTTCTAAGTGTAATATTTTTAATTAGGGATTGTAAACGCCTAGTGAAAATGAAAAAAAAAATAATAATAATTACTCCTTATTTCTGTATAAACTGATTCAATGAAAACAAGGCTATTTTAATCTGTTTTAAAATCTTTAGTATAAGTTTTTTTTTTTTTTTTTAAATCCCTTATTTGGGGTTTTAGCCAATCGAATAATCATGGACGTAAATAGAAAGTTAAAGGAACAACTATATTCAGATTTCCCCTCAAGTTAATACTTTGAGCAACTAAATCTTTTTATCGTATCCTTAATTTCCTTAATCTCTGCTCCCCATTTTTGTTCTAATCACTAACAGTTTTACTTCAAAATTCTGTCAACATCACCAAATATTTGACAAATTCTTAATATTTAAATGGAAGGTGTTGGGCTTCCTCGGTGGTGCAGGGGGTTGAGCACAATGCTGTGAGGCTGTCCATGGCCTTTGCGGTGTGCGTTCGATCCCCAGCTGGCTGGGGAGCAACCCACATGGCGAGTCAGACCTCTGCTGTCTCGCCCACTGCTCCCCTCAGCAGTGTGTTTTGGTGCATCTGCCTGTTCTGTTCCTCGCTCTCTCTGGTGGATCTTCTTCCCCCCGTGACTCTGGCCTGTACCCCACTTCTTAAAACAAACAAACAAACAAACAAGCAAATAAATAAATAAATAAATAAATAGATGTAAGCTATTATACTAAGTATCATAAAAAGGTTAATATAACCCTACCTCCAAAATGTTTTTTTCCCCTCAATAATGTGAAATCAAGGTATATAAATAATCTTTATGAAATAATGAGTGTCAAAAAAATTATGTTATGTGCCAATTCAGAAAAGGGAGAAATGCCTTTTAGGCTCTACAACCTTTAGACTCCCTTTTTCACTATCAGGAAAAAAGGGGTAGAACATTATCAATTTTTAAGAAAATTTTTTCCTAACACTGAAATATAATTACTATATCTTAGATTAGCAGTTAAATAATTGGTTCCAAGGAATCAAGCAAACAGTACTGCAAACTAGATTTGTGGCTTCTAAAACCTTTTTTCATGATAAGCAGTTCCGAGCAAATGAGTTTGGCAATGCACTTGACTCACTCCAGGATGTGATACTGCCTCTAGAAAGACTCACTCTAGAACCAGTCAGCCACTAAAATATTCAAGGATAATTTTAAGCTTTTTCTAAAAGCAAAATTCTTATTTGGAGTTCTTTCAGTTAAGGCAAACAGGTACTAATGTAGGTCTTTCCTAAAGTGAGGTAAAAAGCTTTTGTAAAAAGAGGTATACTTGTACTTATGTGTGATATAGTCTGTTTTCTTACCTCTTCTATTTTTCTTTAACAATGCAAGCTGCCATCTTGATGATTTTACAACCTGTCAATGTGGATGTGGATCCCAAAATCCTGCTTGAAAATCACAACTCTACACAACTCAAACTACATTAGCCTAATACCTTGCAAAATCACCATAGCCAAACTGAATTTTTGTTGATGTCATTGTATATCACATCATTCAAATACCATTATACGAATTTATACAGGATATATTTTGTAAATTTAGCGCATATCAAATCCTCAAGTTAATTTGTGACAAGTAGTTCAAGTTACTAGTAGTTATTTGACACTAATATGAAATTACTTACCTAAGTCCTCCTTCGTCTCCCATTGTGACAGGACGTTGTATTGTTCTATGCCACCACTCTCTATCAATAAATGGTTTAAGTTTTAAAAAGGAAAGAAGAGACCACAAGTCCTTTAAAGAATTCTGAATTGGAGTACCTAAAAATAATATGAAAACTGTCAGAACTCTATTACCAGAATATAAAATTAGAATATCCATCTGGCACAGAAGACACTACAGTTGACAACGGGTACTCCACACTAGGTACACACACTATCAAGCTAGGACTATAATCCCTTGTTAAACATATATACAATCTCTAAGGTTTGCTCTAATTTTGAGCTCTTGCTTACCACAATAACAGAAAAAGACCTTCAACCCAGTAAATTCAACTTTTTTCTTCTCAGGAACATTTGCCTACTTGACTTTTAAATCAGCAGCACCAGCGAAAAGGAAAACACTAATTTCAGTTTATATTCTCTTCCATATTCTAGTAGAAGTATCAGGAGTAGTAAACAAGGAGTAGTAAACAGGTTTCAAAATGGAAAGTAGAGAAATCAAGCTTTTAATTGGAAGATTCAAATTTCTAATTAATTCTTCCACAAATTATCTATAATTCAAAAGTTTATATCATATACAACTTTGAAGAACAAGTAAAACATATCTCACTTACCGAGTTCTATAATTCATTTTGAGAAAAACTTTTTTGTCAACTTGAAATTTACTAACTTACTGATACACTATTTGGGAAACGTGTAACGCTAGCTTTACCTGTCAATACCCATCTTCTTTCTGCTTCTAAATCAAGTACAGCTTTTGTCTGCTGAGCATTTGGATTTCGTATGGCATGTCCTTCATCCAGAATCACTCTTAGCCACCTTATGCTATGTAATGGACTATCACCTTTAGTCTGAAATAAATGTTTCATTTGAATTAAAAATACAGTAAAATAAAATAGCACATTATAAAATTAGTTGTTTTTATTCCTTACTATCAATACTTCAATATTCCTTACTATCAATACTATCAATACACAGCAGATACTAGTTTAGATACTACGTTCCTTGAGTTGTTAATGTTTACAAGTTTGTATTATCATTGCTCTTATTTTACAGATGAGAAAACTGAAGCACCAAGGTATGAAATATATTGCTCAAATATCACAGCTGGAAATGGCAGTTAGCTAACATTCAAACTGATTTAGTCTAGCTTTCTCTTGAGACCTTGCTTTAGATTACTGTCAGTTGTAAGAACAATGTGAATATGACAAAATATTATCTTTCATGTAAAAGTTAATGTTCTTATCAGAAGAATGTAATCTTGTCAATAACCAATTCTTAAAAACATTTTAACTTAAAAATGGAATTAGAGGATTCAAACAATTAAACAATTAAAATTCAAAAAGAACTTGTGAATTTCAATCACAAAAAGCTTATTTTTATACTAAGATGCACATCAAATAAAATTACTATAATAAAAAATAATGAAGAGCCTATTAAAAAATAGAATTTATTTACAGATTAATGTTATTTAATTATAATCCAAATAAAATATTTTAATGCCAAGCATTCTAGTTAGAAAATATTCTTATATTATCTAAAGTCTAATCTTGTTTTTGCAAAATATTAAAATTTCTACTTGTTTCCTACATATTCTTAAGCATTTAAAAGAATGATGATGGCTCATGGGTGAGATGGTGGTGGGAAAGCTAAGGGGACTACAATGATGTAAGAAAAACACAAAGAGAAAAAAAATTTCACATTAGATGAAAAGGTCTTTACCTACTTAATATTACATTTTTTCAACGCCATTATCATCACCCTCCCACTATACTTTGGTTATTATAAGTGCTGAGAAATACAAATTAAAATTGCATGTCAGGAGCTAAGTGATGTGAAATGCTTACTCCTAAATATTTAATAAACGTGTATCAAACCTAAAAGATATCAAAGGGGTTACTAAAAAATAAAATACAATTACATGGCAATTCCCAACTCAAAGCAAATGAAATGACAACAATACAGTTCAAATAAAATTATGATGAACTTTATCAGTTTAACTGTGTTTAACTCCTGTTTTTCAAGTTCAAGAAATTAAAATAAGAAAAAGAGCAACAGTATAGGGGCCTCCCTGGTGGTACAAGGGGTTAAGACACAACCTCTGAAGCTATCTGCAGCCACTGCAGCACAAGTTCCATCCCCAGCCAGGGAGTTACCCACATGGTGCAGCAGACCTCTCCTGTCTCACCTGCTGCTCCCCTCAGCAGTGTTTTCAGTCCATCTGCTTGTTCTGCTCCCTGCTCTGTCTCTGGTGAATCCTCTCACTCACCCACACCTCTGGCTTGTACCCCACTTCTTGTATGCATAAATAAGTAAATCTTTTTTTTAAAAAAAGCAATAATATAAAGTATGAATTTTAGGACAATTTAGAAATCTGAGTTATACTGTCTCAAGTTCAACTTTTAAAATCTCTGTATTGGGGCCTCCCTGGTGGTACATGGGTTTAAGCAACACACTATGAAGCAATCTACAGCCTCTGCAGCAAGAGTCAATCCCCAGCCGGCCAGGAAGCAACCCATATGGCGAAGCAGACCTCTCCTGTCTCTCCCACTGCTCCCCTCAGTAGTGTGTTTTATTTAGTCAATCTGTCTGTTCTGTTCCCCACTCAGTCTCTGGTGAATCCTCTCACCCGCACTCCACCCCAACATCTCTAACCTGTACCCCAGCTCTCGTATGCATAAATAAATCTTTTAAAAAAAATTTAAAAATAATAAAATCTCTGTATTATTAGCAATACTTACTCCATAGTCATGAGTTAAAATATTGTATGTAGTCAACACAATATCCTGTCTTGAAAGCAATGTTGGGTCTCTAATACGGTCAGGACCATAATAAACATAAAAATTCAAGTGTACATCTGATTTGATATGTTGTCCAAATTGGTCCTAAAAGAAAATTGGAAATAATTTTAATAATAATTAGTTCTATATGTGTATAAAAAGTATTGTCTAGGAAGAAGTGGCACACGTCAAACTTAAAATTATATAAGTGTTCTGAAATTTAATTTAAAATAATAGGAACACTAACAAACAAAGTAACAGTATATAAATTTAGCCTGGCTCTACGAATAAGTAGTCACTTCATTTCTAGGCATAAAAACCACCATGCTTCTTTATTAGTCCTTTGAAAATTTAGCATTTTATCAAAAAAAAAGGGGGGGAGGGATCTGTCCCCAAGGGGCTGGCCTAAAAAAGAACACTGTGGGGGGCCTCCCCTGGTGGCTCAGGCAGTTGAGCACAGCACCGTGTGAAGCTGTCCGCAGCCTTTGCAGTGCTGGTTGGATCCTGGCCAGCTGGCGAGGGTCCCACATGGAGCAGTGGACCTCTCCTATCGCGCCTACTGCTCCCCTCAGCAGTGTATTTCAGTCAGTCTGCCTGTTCTGTTCCCCGCTCTGTCTCTGGTGAATCCTCTCAACCTCCTGTGCATATGGCCTGTACACCGGTTCTTAAAAAAAAAAAAAAAAAAAAAAAACAGAACACTGTGGGGATTCCACAACTGAACTCAGGTACCCACAACACTGGCAAGAACCTTGAATCTCAAAGCTACTCAAGGGACAGTAGGGAGCTTCTGTGTTCTACTAACCCTTTGCAGTACCAGCTGTCTGATTAATTAAACAAGTGCAAAGGTAACAATCAGAAAATCTACCACTACTACAATCCATAAAAACTGAATATTAAGAGAGAGAAAAACATAGTACAAATGCTGAAGCAAAAATACCCTGAGAGGAGTCTTTATCCAGTAAACTACAGAAATGACTGAAGAGAAGTTCAAGGTAATTGTAACAACATTTATATAATTCAAAAAAAGAAGAGATACAAAACCCAAAGGACACAAAACAGACCAAGAAAATTGGAAGAAGTTACAGTTAGAAGTAACGGATGTTCAACCTCCCTTTTAATCAGGGAAATGCAAATTAAAACCACACAGAGATACCACCTTACCACAGTTAAGAATGGCACATATCAAAAAAACAAGCAACAAATGTTGGCGAGGATGTGGTGAAAAAGGAACTCTCCTACACTGCTGATGGGAGTGCAAACTGGTCCAACCACTATGGAAAGCTGTGTGGAGGTTCCTCACTCTACTAAAAATGGAACTACCATTTGACCCAGCAATTCCAGTACTAGGGATCTACCCAAAGGACACAAAAACACGGATTCAAAAGAACACCTATATCCCTATGTTTACTGCAGCACTATTTACAATAAGTAAATGCCCAAAAATAGATGACTGGATCAAGAAGATGCGGTATATATACACAATGGATTATTACTCAGCAATCCAAAAAGATAAACCCATGCCATTCACAGCAATGCTCAGTGAAATAAGCCAGAAGGAAAAAGAAAAATATCGGATGGTTTCACTTATAGCAGGTATATAGGGGAACCAAATAAGACATCATTGTAAAAAAAATAAATAAATAACAGTACAAAACACAACAAAGCAAAAACACAATTATAAATCAGACACATATGCAGGGGAGGAGGAAGAAGAGGGATCAGAGGGAGGGAGGGAGGAACATGGGAGGCTGAGGTGATGGTGCATGGGAGCACTGGTGAAGAAAACTCTATGGGGACTACACCTGAGGGGGTGTGGGGAAGCAAATATTATTTAAAAATGAACAACGATGTAAAAAAAATTTTTAAAAATTAAAAAAAAGACGTAATGGAGCTAAGAAATACTACAATTGAATTTAAAAATACTACAGAGGGCGTCAACAGTAGATAAACACTAGCAATGGTAATAATTAGTAAGCCTCAAAACATAATGTTGGAGAACGCGCAAACAAAATAACAGAGGAAAAAAAGGACTAAAACAAATAAGAGCCTTTTGGGATAACTTAAGGAAAAATAACATCTGTATCATGGTGGGGACCGGAAGTTCCCCAGAAGGAGAAGAGAAAGGCACAGATAATTCATTTAAAAAAAAAATTAGTGAAAATTATTCTGAGAAAGAAGCCAGATATCATGATCCAAGAGGCCCAAAGAGTTCCAAACAAAGTAATACCAGACAGACATGTACCAAGACACATTATAATAAAGTGGTAAAAAGCCAATGACCAGGACAGAGTATTAAAAACACTAAAAGAATAAAGGGTAACCTATAAGGGAACAGCAATGAGACTGTCAGCAGGCTTCTTTTATTTTTTTTTTAAAGATGTATTTATTTATTTATACAAGAACCGGGGTACAGGCCAGATGCACAGGAGGATGAGAGGATTCACCAGAGACAGAGCAGGGAACAGAACAGGCAGAGTGAGGAAGTACAGTGCTGAGGGGAGCAGTGGGCACGACAGGAGAGGTCCACTGTGCCATGTGGGACCCTTGCCAGCTGGCGGGGATCAAACTGGCGCTGCAGAGGCTATGGACAGCTTCACAGCGCTTCACTCAAGCTCAACTGCCTGAGCCCCCAGGGGAGGCCCAGCAGGCTTCTTTTAGAAACATTATAAGCACAAAGGAAATGGCAGGATATATTTAAAGTATTTAAACAAAACATTGCTAGCACAGAATCATTTATCCTGCAAGACTAACATTCAAAACAGAAGGAAAAGTAGAGGCATTTCACTGGAAAGCAAAAATTCAAATAATTATCAATGCCAAGCCACACATGAGAAAAGCCTTAAAGGGGTTTATATTATAAAGCAACAGAACAACAAATACAGAAATAACACCTAATCGTCATGGAGATAGAGAATAACAATGCGGCCCAACAAAACCAAAAGGATACCAGAACATCCAACAGGTCACAGAAACAGAACATCATAACTAACCTCAGCAGAACCCGCAAACAAAAAGAGATGTAAAACATAAGACAATGGAAATGGAACTTAAGATTAAGAAGACCCAAAATATTGCAAGACAAGCCAAATAAAACTGTAACAAGATGGCAATAAGCATTTATGTCTCAATAATCATATTCAATGCAAATGGCCTGAATTCACCAGTCAAAAGATAGAAGTGGTAGAATGGGTTTCAAATCAAAGTCCAACTTTCCACTGTATATAAGAAACCCATTTTACTAACAAAGCACAAACTTAGAGTTAATAGCTGTAAGACAGAAGTACAAGCAAATGAAAACAAAATTTATAGCAAACTAAAAAAATCAAATAAAACAGACTTCCAATTAAAAAAAAAATGCCTTAAAATTAATGACAAAGAGGATACAAGCTACCAGAATCTATGGATGCAGCAAAAGTGGTCCTAAGAGGGAAGACAGATTAAAAAAATAAAATTATCAACTGTTTAAGGATCTAGAGCTTGAAAAGCACATACATGAGCACTAAAAGTCCGAAATTTTTAAGACTATATCCTAGCTCCATCACCTATTAGCTGAACAGTCTTAAGCAAGTTACTTTACTTCTCCTGTGTTACTCAATTTGATAATAGTCATTAAGAATATATGAGAAGAATCTATGAAAAGGACTTAGGGGAAAACAGCATCTCATTAAGTATTACAAATTGTTACAAAAGCCAAGTTATACTTACTGATTTCTTAGAAAAGAGATTACAATAGTTTGTAAATATGCTAAGAATCATATGTTACATACCCTATCTACTGTGGAGAGAAATGGTAGCAGCAGAAGTACAATCCAAATTTTATGACAGTTTTGTTGATGTTTCTTTATTTCTGTTATAAATCCCCAACTGAGTATACCCAATTCACCTAACAATTATTTGAACTTAGATATAAAATGCAGACCAAGCATATTTCTTGGTCATCCTAACGAATGACTCTCTAACAGAATATATTTTATTGCATGACAAGTATTAATTATATCACATTTTAAAAGGGCTTCAATACTTACAATCCAATTGCTTAATACAGAAAGTGGACAGATGATCAGTGTTGTTCTTGGTCTCCCTTCCACATCAATTTTCTTTGAACATTCTACTGAAGAATCTCCTGAAAAAGTGAATCAGTTCACAATTTTTAGGTTTTTCCCCCTCAAATATGAACTCAAAAAAAAGATAATAATGTAACTCTATGAAAAGAAAAATGAGGAAGGATTAAAATGAAGCAGATGGACTTCGGTTTCCAGTCATGATGAAGTAAAACACTAGATTTTACTTTGCGACTGGAGGCAATTAAAAATCCACATAGCAATTTATGAGTAGATTATGAGTGGAAAAAGGCACAAGAATTTTTGATTATCCCCTGACATTTGCTAAACCATTCCTATTTATTCTTTAAGATGAACATTGTTTCATGCAGTTTTCTGAAGCTGAATTAGAATTAATGTAGTGGACAGACTCAAAAAGATGGCCCCCAATGATAACCACTTCCTGAGACCCAACCTTTTGTAGTTCCCACCCACACTCTATCAGGGTTGGTCTGCATAACCAACAGAATATGGTATATCACTTATGAGCTTAAATTATAAAAGATGCAGCTTCTGTTTTAAGTGCTATCTCCCTCTCTGATCACTCACTCTTGGGAAAACAGCTGCCAATGTTGCAAGGGCATTCAGGCACCTACACAAGGATGCAACGCAATTTTATTTTCCATTCCCTAACTGGATAGCATTTACATTATTTCCAATATTTTGGTATAATAATGTGGCGGGGGGGGGAGTTGTTTCCATGTTTCTTTGTACATGTCTACACAGAGTGCTAGGTGGTACTACTTGCTCTCCATTGTAACTGACATCTGACACTCCCATCCAGAATGCACGAGTTACTACGGCAGCACAATCTTGCCTATACTTAGCAGAGATTTTTTTTTTTAATGCTTATAAATATGGTGGACAAGAAGGTATCTCCATGTTCCCTTAATCTGTAGTTCCTCAATGATTGAGTCTGAAAATCTTTTCCTAATGTTCACTAATTACTTGGGTTTTCTTTACATGGACTACACTAATATTCTTTGTGCCTATTTACCTATTGCACTATGTATTTCTAAATGATTTGCAGAGAATTCTTTACATATTCTAGATACTAATACTTTTTAAGTTACTCATCACAGATAATTTATTCAGCCTTATCTCTTTTTACTCTATTCAACAATCTTTTTCTTATGAGACTTTTTCCTGATGATTTTAAAGAAACCACTATTAAGAAAATATGACTTCATTCTCCATTCCCTTTTTTTGCCTATTCGGTTTTCTTCCAGAAGCACATTTATTTTGGTTTTATCACAGTTATGATTTACATTTCTCTCTTGTATTACTGCTATGTGTCTGCAACAGAAAGCGACTTATTTGTGTGAATTTAATTCTATCTTCCTTGAAAAGTCCACATTTCTTAAAATTTCAAAAATTAGGGTCCAGAGTCATCAATTTGAAATGCCTATATTGACTAGTACTGCCTGACTCTTAGACCAAAAGTCAGCTTTTTCATTCAGTGTTAAGTATCAAACACACTATCCTCCCTTTATTGTCTTCATATCATTTACCACTTAAAATTATGTTCTACTTGCTTATTTTATTTCCCTTATCAATAGATATAAATGTCATGAAAATAAATTATCTGCTGTATCCCCAACACGTACAACACTAGAAGAAATTACCTCTGGTACTGAGAGGAGTAAAAGACCTCTTTCCCATCATATTTTCGACCTAACTATAAAACAAACAGACTAGAAAGAGGTACTAGAAGAAAAATACATGAAAACGTACTGCCTTTTGAAATGGGACTTGTTTGCTTTTTTCCCTACATTCTAAACTTCTTGTGACACAGTTTCACAATTTTTGTCATTTATACTTTTTCTACTGAGAAACAGAACAAAACAAAAGCTAAAAAAAACCAGCAGATTTACTAACCCTTTTTCAACATTTTCTTTTTTGTTGCAGGGGATGAAATAAGGGCGTAGGCAAAATCTCCATCTTCCTTAACTTTAGAAGATCCTGCTGAAGAAAACAGACAGTGTTATTAAGATATCTGAAAACTAATTCTATGCTTAGGTATAGGTACAATTTCTAAGACTAGGGAATATAATACCACACCCACTCTAAGAGCTTCTATTACCAAATAAAAATAGTATCTAGTAATCAAAATTGCCTTTTCCAACACTAAGTATATATTTCCAGTTCAGAAAAAGAATATAATCATTCATGATGTATCAGTGCTTTTTTTGATGAAGAGATATGAAAGTAGGAGCAGTTGCATGCAAAGTCAAGTCACAAGGTACATGGGCTCCTGAAAGCCATCCTTTGAAGTTTTGAAACCAGGCATTGACTGGTTATAGTTACAAAAGTCTAGGGGCCTGGGCCTCCCTGGTGGCACAACGGGTTGAGCGCAGTGCTGTGAAGCTGTCCACAGCCTTTACAGCACAGGTTTGATTTCTGGCCCGCCAGGGAGATTCCCACAAGGCACGGCAGACCTCTCCTGCCTCACCCGCTGCTCCCTTCAGCAGTGTATTTCAGTCAGTCTGCCTGTTCTGTTCTCCACTCTGTCTCTCGTGAATCCTCTCACCCTCCCACGCCTCTGGCCTGTACCCCAGTTCTTGTATTAATAAAAATTAATCTTCAAAACAAAAAGAAATTATTTTAAAAAAAAAAGTCTAGGGGTCTCCCCCTGGTGGCACAGGGGTTAAAGACAGCACTACCAAGCTACTGGCAGCCACTGCAACACGAATTCAATCCCTGGCCAGGGAGCAGCCCACATGGTGCAGCAGACCTCTCCTCTCTCGCCCACTGCTCTCCTCTGCAGTGTATTTCAGTAGATCTGACTGTTCTGCTCCCCACTCTCTGGTGAATGCTCTCAAATCCCACATGTCTGGCCTGTACCCTAGTTCCTGTATGCATAAATCAATCTTAAAAAAAAAAAAAAAGAGATGACATCTTCTTTCAGTATAAAGCTTTTTCATCTATATTGAAAATTCATTGAGTATAGCCACCTTCATGTATTATGTTGCTTAGTGTAGTCACCTATCATCTATTAACTCAGGTAGATTTTCTGGATAACTTGCTATACCTGCTGCTTCACCTTGCACATGGAGATGGCTTCTTAAACATCATGAAACAACCTATGCTAACTTCAACCTTTTCTTTCGGCGCTTCCTTGGCTTTTGCAGTCTTCACAGAACTGAGAGTCAGGGTCTCGTTCTTGATTCAGCTTTAGCTTATGGGAATGTTATGTCTGGTTTGACCTCCTTCCACACAATTTAAACTTGCTTCATTGTAAGTAATAATGCTGTTTTGCTTTCTTATCATTTGTGTGTTTGCTGGTATAGCACTTTATTTTCCTTCAAGAATTTTTCCTTTGCCTTCACAACTGTTAGGCACAAAAGGCCTAGCTTTTTCCTTTTTTTTTTTAAGTTACTTTTTTTTTATTTAAAGATTTATTTATTTATACAAGAACTGGGGTACAGGCCAGAGGCGTGGGAGGGTGAGAGGATTCACCAGTGACAGAGCCGGGAGCAGAACAAGCAGACGGACCGAAAACACTGCTGAGGGGAGCAGCGGGCAAGACAGGAGAGGTCTGCTGCACCATGTGGGATTCTCCCTGGCCGACCTGGAATCAAACCCACACTGCAGAGGCTGCGGACAGCTTCACAGCACTGCACTCAACTCCCAATGTCACCAGGTAGGCCCAAAAGGCCTGGCTTTTACCTTATCCCAGCTTTTGAAATACCTTCCTCATTATGCTTAAGATTTCCACTTTTTTATTTAAAAGGAGGGAAATGTGACTCTTCCTTTCACTCAAGTAAATACTTAAGAGGTTATTGTAACCTTAGTGACAAAAAGAGAGAGATGGTCGGAGAGGAAGACAGGTGGTGGGTAGAGCAGTCAGAAAACAACATTTATCGATTAAGTTCCCCATCTTCTAAGAGCACAGTTTGTGGTACCTAGAACAACTGACAGTAGTATCATCAAACAGATAGTAGGGATAATGAAAACATTTGGAATACTGTGGCATTTACCAAAATGTGACACAGACACCAAGTGAACACATGCTATTGGAAAAAAATGTAATATAAAAATTGCAATAGCTGTGAGGTGCAAGAAAGTGCACTTATTAAAATGAAGTATGACTACAATTTCTACAGATACAAATAAGGTTTAATTAAAAGTCATTTTACGAATAGTAAAATGCAGTAAAAAAATTGTTTTGTTTAAACTTGGTTTAAATATTATCTCTTAGATTTTAGTTTGAAACTCTTTCAATTTGTCTCAGTCATTTAACACCCCTTAGGACATTCATGAATAGTTGAAATATTAGCAGCAGTCAAATTTAAAATCTACTACTAAAGAATTCAAAATTGGAGAAATAGAAATCAATAGGTCTTTAATTATATTTAAAATGTCAACTACAGGGTTTGAGATGTACACACATACCTTTTACTCTGCTTTTGGCATCTGTCTGTGTATTTTTCAGTTTGCCTAAAAACAACCAAATATAAAAATGGTCACATTATAAAATCAGAATATAGGGCTTCCCCGGTGGTGCAGTGGTTGAGCGCTGGGTTGCAAAGCTGCCCGCAGCCTCTGCAGCGCCAATTCGATCCCCGGCTGCTCCCCGGCCACCGGAGGAGGGTCCCACATGGCGCGCAGACCTCTCCTGCTGCCCGCTGCTCCCCTCAGCAGTGTACTTCGGTCCTTCTGCCTGCTCTGCTCCCCGCTCTGGTGAATTTCTCACCCTCCCGTGCTTCTGACTGTACCCAGTGCTTATATAAATAAATTAAATTTTAAAAAAAATTCACTGTAGTTAAAAAAAAAAAAATCAGACTATAGCACACATTATCAAATCAACTCCATTCATATTACCTTTCATTTTCTGTGGCAATTCACTTGTTTCCATTTCCTCTGAATCACTACTTTCAATATACTGGACAGCAGTTTTTCTTCTAAAATTAAGAAGATAGTATAAACACTTGTAATAAATGCACTACCAATACTTTTGTCTTCCCTTTTTTTTAATTTCAAGAGAAATTTTTGTTTTGACAAATGAAAGTATCATTTACTAGAAGCATTTTGCTTCCATACTGCATTAACTACATAAAATATAGTACCATTATTATTAAAATGTATTTGAAAAACTAAACTATTCTAATAATAATTTTTCAACACTAAATATTTGATAATTCAATTACATGAAATTAGAAAAGAAAATGACACCAAATATCAACTACATCTAATATAGTGTCTAACTGGCAAAAATTGTTTCACAGTGAAAAATGTCAAGTTTTGTGTATAGAGAGTATAATATAATGGTTAAGTGGCTAAGAATATTAAACTCTGAAGTCAGACTGTCTAGTTCTAAATCCCCACTTCCCTACTTATTATCGGCTAATAGTCCTCAGTTTTTCTCATTTGGAAAACAAGAATAAAAATACAATCCACTTTTTAGGATGAAGTGCTGTTACTATATGCAAAATTCCCTTAGAACAGTATATATGTATTACCTATTGTATTGATTATAATTAGTTTTCCTTGTGTCCTCATTCTTATTTCTGTGTTCTTTGATATGATCTGCTCTACCTAATAGTGCCCTATTACTCAGGCTCATAGGTAGTTTAGAGTTGTTAACAGTCAAGTTCTTGAAGAGAAGGAACAATGAGTCCTCTTTTATGTTTAGTTCAGACTCAGTAGTAATGATAGAGAACAATTAGAACAATTAACAAAGTCCCAGTTTTGAGTTCTCTATTGGTAGAAGAGCTAACAGAGAGACTCATTTTGAGGTCAATCTATTAATATTGACGGTAAATATAATACAATAAAAGCCAATATTTAATTCAAAAAATAGGTAAAATTCAAAGATAATAGATTCAAGTTGCGATTTGAGGGACCCAATTCCCCCTTTACGGTTTACATATGTTAAAACATTAATACTCTAAGTAGCTTTATCATGTCTTATGGTAAAGGAAAAGTGCGAAAGAATTGAGATGAACAAAGAATGGTTTTCTAAAGTGATCCACTAAATAAACATCTCAGATTCATTAAAAAAAAACCCTTTTGAAGTCTCAACTAAAACAAAAAAACCATGAGGTAGATCTTAGTTCTTAGGTGAAACAAACAGAAAAGACAAAAGTGATAGAAAGATCACTGATTACTAAAGATTACAAATTCACAGATTAGTATTACCCTTTTTCACTTTTAAAATGTGTCCAAAGTCACAGTGATATTGGCAGTTTCAAATCTAAGATTATATCTGAAAGAATTACATAATTGAGGCATAATAGTACAATCTCAAGAAAGAATTTAAACCAACATTATATACAATCAAACCATAAGAGCTTACCTTTTGGGGCGGAAGCTAGATAATTCTGACTTGGGACATTTATTCTTTTCCTTGATATCTGAAATACTGGGATCTCCACTACATCTAGAGCCTTCTATTTTAAAGAAAAGGACAAATAGAGTATAAATGAATTGTCCCCTAATATCCTTGGTTTTTCAATTCAATAATTCAACTTTCTTAATAACTCACTCCTCTTCCTTCAGTGAATCAGCCAGCTACTATTTCCTAACCTACTATTTTTTTTAATGCCAAAAAGTATAAATTTTTGTACCCAGTCTTTTCCCCCTGTAGTCATTTCAACCAATAGTCACACTGAATTTCCTGCTGGAGCAAGGCAGCTCAGGGTTGCTAGGGAAAAAATGAACAATGGGAAAACAAGCAATAATGTAACTTTACATTTTCAAATTTCAGCTGTTGCCTATGCCACTTAGCAACTCTTACACGTTACCATACAACTTTCCTTATCCGCTCACTAGAATAATCTAAACTACACTGGATCTTTTGCCTAGATTTTGAATTCCTTATATTCCAAGATAATGACTGACCACAATTTAGAAAAAGGTATCACCTTTTATAAAAAATTCCCAATATTTGTACTTTTTAATTCTATCAATTATCTAGTTATTCTCGATCTCATTTCCTTTCCTTTTAATTCTAACTAATCATACCAATTCCCTCCTGTTCTTAATTATTCTTCATTGCACCAAAATCTCATCTGAATCCATGGTTTTTCTTAAAACAAACAAACAAAAAAAAGCCCTTAATTCTGCCTCCCTTTCCAATTATTTTTCTATTTCTCGCTCCTATTTCAAACTTAGCTAAATAAGTAACAGCACACAGTTTTTATTTCCAATTCTTTATCTACTATTCTAAATGTCTAAAATATCTTCAAACCAATTTTCAGAAATTAAATTTTAATGGTCATTAAGGGCAAAATCCAGCTATATAACTGCTAAATCCAGAGATCCCTTTTCCTTCCTTCTGACTTCAAAATTTGACTCCAACCTATTCTGTTCGCCTTATATGCTGTTATCCATGCACATTACATTATAAATAAAGTAAGATTCCAGAATAACACTGATTTTTTTTTTTAAGTTGTTCTTCAAGGGATTTCTTCCACATCAACCAGCTCTTTCTCAGCTTCTCAACTGGTATCCGAATGCCCAATTACATCATTACCTCCGTGATGAAATTTTTTTCCTACTAGGACTCATGAGATTCTTCAGAGAGACCCAAAATACTCATATAATACAAGGTGGGAGCTAGATTTAAATCATTGAGTTGGAAATATCTAAATCAAATATGGGGTCATGTTCAAAATTAAAGTTTACCTTTTATTAGTCCATCTGCCTTCTCACTGTTGTTTCTTTCAAGTTTCATAGATTCATCCTTAACACTACATTCCTGGATGAAAAGGCACACATTTCTTACATAGTACTGTTGTCAATTTTAAATGAATTCCAAAGCATCCTATATTACATAGTTCTATTTTACATAATAAAGACTAGATTGATACCCTATACTGGAGCGATGGAGGGAGAGGAATTAAGAGGAAAAATACATAAACTGATCAAAATTTTTTTCACAGCTATCTCAAAAAAGAAAGCCAGTCTTTACCTCTCCAAAAGGAATGCAAAGAGTAAACCTCAATTATAAATGGTACACTAGCTACTGTGAGAAACATGTATGAGATGGAATTTATTTTAGAATTAAGACTTTTCACATTACAAACTTTCAAACCAAGAGTCTCTACTCAGTAAATAACAGATTATTAATGAAGGTACCATCGTCATCCTACTCTCTGGAAATCCCAGGGTAGGTGGATACAGTAGCACTGACTCTATGTAGAGTGCCACCTCTCTTTATCAGGGATTTTCTTGCCAACCCTGACTTTTTACTTTTCCCTACATGTAACCCCTCCACCTTTGTTTCAAATATTCAATTTATTATTTGACTTGTTTCTTTAGGCAGGCGTACAAATGAAACTGGACTTAATTACATTAATTCTTTAATTTAAAAAGATAAATAGGTGACAACATCATATTGTGAATCAAAATTTCAGAGTGGAGATCAAGGCTGGTGTGTAGGAATAAACGGTAATTTCTACTGAGAAATGAGTAACAAAAAATATGTGATTCTAGTTTTAAAAAGAATTATAAGGGCCTCCCTGGTGGCGCAGCGGGTTGAACGCAGCACTGTGGAGCTGTCCGCATCCTCTGCAGCGCCAGTTCGATTCCAGCTGGCCAGGGAGATTCCCACATGGTAAGGCAGGCCTCTCCTGTCTCGCCCGCTGCTCTCCTCAGCAGTGTACTTTGGTCCTTCTGCCTGTTCTGCTCTATCTCTAGTGAATTCTCTCACCCTCCCACGCCCTCTGTTACTATACCCCAGTGCTTGTATAAATAAATAATAAAAATCTTAAAAATAAATAAATAAATAAATAAATAATGAAAATCTTTAAAAAAAAAAAAAAGGAATTTTAAGCATCTTGTAAGATCCCATTAAGTTTCAGTAAAAACTTGGTTGGAAAGGGCCTCCCCTGATGGTGCAGAAGTTGAGCACTGGGCTGCGAAGATGCCTACAGCCTCTGCAGCGCCGGTTCAATCCCGGCTGCTGGGCGAGGGTCCCATATGGCGCGCAGACCTCTCCTGCCACACCCGCTGCTCCCCTCAGCAGTGCATTTCATCAGTCTGCCTGTTCTGTTCCCCGCTCGGGCTCTGGTAAATTCTCTCACCCTCCCGCACTTCTGACTGTACCCAGTGCTTGTATAAATAAATAAATCCTTAAAAAAAAAAAAAAAAAGTTGGTTTGAAAAAACACTTATCCTGTTCTACTAATCTGAGCTAAATTATGAATTACAAATACAAAAAATACAGTATTTTTAGGGACATGTAAGTTATTGTAGATAATGAGGTTTTTAAACCATGAGTTCCAACAAACACTTGTTAAAAAAACTTTTCATCAAATAGTCTTCCCAATCTTCTTCAATAATTAGTACATAACCTAAATGTTTATGCACAAATGATAACTTTTACAATATTCTTTATATTAAATGGTTTTCCTCAGTAAGCTCTTCATAGAGTTCAAAAATAAACTTTCAACCACGTACAACCTATCAAATCATACTACACTCTAATAGAACTTAAATGAACAACATTCCACTTTTTAAGTTTGAATAGCAGTCTTTCTGAAATGGTGGGATTTTCTGGTATAGTAAAATCTTCCCTGGAAATCACATTTTCAGCCTAAAGTTCAACTAATGCAGCAAGCTAAATAAAGCATTCTTATGCACAACACTTTAAATACATGACTAATCTTGGGAATAGAAAAGGAAAGTTTTACAGATAATTGATAGTTTTTCAATTGATAATTGACACTGAAGCTATAAGTAGTACTAGCTCCATTAGAACAGGGTGTAAAGCACTGGACTATTTAGGGTAGTGAACTGAATCTCAGATTCTAATAGTTAAATTCCCAATAAAAGGAGTTGCATTCTTTTCTCCTTTGCATTCTCAGTAAGCAGTGGCAGAAAATTGATATGCAGCCTCTCTGAAAACTAAAAATCTACAATAGCAGTAGAGTCCAAAAAAGATACTTTGTACACACCTTCCACTTAGTTTTTTCCTACAAATAAGTTCTATGGATTTTTAGCTGAGAATGAAAAGAATTTTTCAATTCTAGTAATAATTATTTTCCCTACTAAATGACTTAAATTCTTAGAAGCTAAATATTATATGTATATATGTACATTTAATATGGATTAGGTATCAACAAAAGTCACCCATATTCTTATCACTAAGACATAATTACTACTATAAACATTCTGGCACAGAGCGTAACTACAGTTATAAACACAACATCAAAACTTGTACTTGGCCTTCTTTTTAAAAACAATCAATTTGAATGTATTCTTCAGAAACAGGATTTTCTAGTTGCATGTTAAATTTCATAGCTATATCATATTGTAACTGTTAGCTTATGAGATGCTTCAAACTTCCTACCTTTACAATAACTCTGAGGGAAAACATTTTAGACTTATATCTTTAGGGAAAAAAAGCATTTCTGGTAACTTCTATACACAGCTTCTTTGAAATGGCATTACTGAGTCACATTTTAAAACTTCAAGGCTTCTAAGAAGCATTACCAAACTGCCCTCAAGAATGTGGTAAAAGAAACATGAGAGACACATCTCTATAAATACTATCATCAAATTTTTGGCAGTAACTTTTTAATGACAGAAAGACTTTAAAATAAACCAGAGACTTCAGAGAAAATACACTTATTAACACTTTACCTTCTTTGGTTGATTCTTTTTAATTCTTTCAACAGGAAGAGGCTTGTCATCATGAAAGTTTGTAAGAATTACTGCAATAGCTGTAAGAGTTTTGCCCTTTAAAATGTTTTAGAAAACATAAATGGTGAGTTTTTTTAACTAGTTGACTAGAGAACATTCCAAAACAAAGTAATCAAATATTTTAAAATCACGTAATAAAATATCAAATGGCACTCAAGGGCACAAAAGTAAACAAATAAATAAACAAACAGTATTTCACTGATTCAGGTAGAAAAAGCTTTCCTGTATTGCACTGCTAGAAATTATTACTCTACTAAAATGCTATAATAACCATCTTCATTTTAGTTAAGTTTATTTTAATGAATTATTCTAAGATTTTACATGTAACCCTAAACTAATAACTTTACCATGATAATGTAACCATTGGCTTGCTAATTTTAAGTTAGTATTCTAGTAGATATATGAGCTAATCATTTTATTAAGCTTATTTAAGGAAAACACCAATGCTTAAACACTATAATTTAACTTACCAATAAAACATAAAGGACATATTTCCTGTGTTTTTCTCAATTGGAAAGATGTAAGTTTTCACTATTTTCCATTAATTAGCACTACAGAAATAAATCTTCAGCAATTTTAAAGTGTAACCACAGATGGTAGGGGATCTCCAGGATCCTTAAACCATATGTGCAGCCAAAATTATTTTCATAATACTATTAAGATTTAAGTCATGTTGCTTGCTATCTGTAGTAAAACCACAAAAAGCCCTGACAGGTAAAATTGGTGGTGCCTCAGCATGAAACAAAGCAGATGGCACTACTGGGATGTCATATTCTTACCTACTCTTAATACTACTCATAGAAAAAATTTTTTTCAAAGCCAGTTTCACTTTAAGAATGTTCTTTAAAGAATGTTCTTGATACAGGTTTACTTTCAAATTAGTGTTTTTTTGTGTCTTCTGGGCAGATTCCCACAAGTAGAATCACTGGGCATATGGTAGATTCGATTCTAGTATTTTGAGGAACCTCCACACAGCTTTCCATAGTGGTTGGACCAGTTTGCATTCCCACCAGCAGGATGAGGGTTCCTTTTTCTCCACATCCTCACCAGCAATTGTTATTGCCAGTTTTTTTTTAAATGGGCCATTCACCATTGTGAGGCTGTATCTCATTGTGGTTTTGATTTGCACTTCCCTGATTATAAGTAATACTGCACTCCTATGTTTATTTCAGCACTATATATAATAGCTAAGATATAAAAACAACCCAAATGCCCCAAAACAGAAGAATGGATCAATATGCGCTATCTACACAATGAAATACTACTCAGTGATCAAAAAAGAATAAATTCATGCCATCTGCAGCAACATGGATGTAGGTAGAACAGATTATGTTCAGTGAACTAAGTCAGAAGGAAAAAGAAAAATATCAGATGGTTTCTCTATAGGAAGATTATAAGGAAAGTGAATGAAGGGTCCATGTATCTGAGACATACAGAGGGGGAGGAGGAGAGCTAAGAGTCAAAACAGGGGCGAGAAGAGCTCAATGGACTACGGTGATGGTTCACAGGTGCCGTGGTGGGAAAAATATGGGGACTACACCTGAGAGGAGAAATCAAGTATTGTATAAAAATGAAAACAATGCAAGAAAATAAAAATATTTTTAAAAACGAATGCGCAAAGAGTCAAAATGGGAGAGAAGAGCTCAATGGACTATGGTGATGGTTCACAGGTACTGTGGTGGGAAAAATATGGGGACTACACCTGAGAGGAGAAATCAAGTATTGCATAAAAATGAACAATAATGCAAAAAATAAAAATATTTTTTAAAACGAATATCCTTGATGAAGTAGTATACATCCCTTTTTTTAGTGTTCTGTATAACAAATGGGAAGTACATATAAAATACTTTAGTCGCACACCAAACCATGAAAGCCATCCTGAAAAAGTCCTTGTGAGACTGAATTGCAAGCTCAATTAACTGCTATATATCATCAAGCATCTACAATTTTTCTGGCATCACACTTCTACTTGAAATAATGATAATTGGTTATTCATGATTAACATTTTCTTGAAAAGCAAACAAACTGTAGTTATCATCAAATGCTAACAGCATTTGATATAATGATAAAATATGAGCTTTAGGTGAAAATTACAATGTCAGAAAACTTGTATCCAACACTGTAAGCTGAGCACTTCCCAACTATTACTGCTTTTCCATAAGTTCAATGGTAATATCAATGATAAATTATTGATATGGTATACTGAAATGCATCAAAATTTGAGTCTGCATAATTAAATGAAGCAGTATTTTCCAAATGAGTAACATCAGACGTTTTACAATCATGCATGGGTAAAGTATCCACTTAATGAGCCAAGTATACCAAAGAATTCTAATGGAAGGGTATAAAATGCTAACATACATGATTTTAAGTTTCACATTATAACTTTAATCATTTATTTTAAGATTTATATTTTTTATTTATACAACAGCTGGGGTACAGGCCAGAAGCGTGAGAGGGTATGAGGATCACCAGAGACAGAGTGGGGGGCAGAACAGGCAGACAGACCAAAAGCACAGCTGAGGGGAGCAGCCGGCGCAACAGTAGAGGTCTGCTGCACTATTTGGGAATCTCCCTGGCCAGCCAGGAATTGAGCCCACTCTGCAGAGGCTGCGGACAGCTTCACAGCGCTGTGCTCAACCTGCTGCACCTTTTACAAGTACATAAAAAGGCTATTAAAATACTCCCTTTCCAACTACGTATTTTGTGTGAGAACTAGTTTCCTTTATATAATTCAATTAACACACTACCTATCACAACAGACAGAATAAAAAATTAAATATGAGAATCAAGAATTAAAAGAATGTGCAAAACTGTAAAACAATCCCATCTTCTCATCAAAAGTGTTTGGTTTTAGATTACTTTTCATTTAAAAGTATGTTATACTGGGGCAGCCACATGCAGAAGTATGAAATTTAACTATCTCACACAACACAAAAATTACCTCCAAATGGATTTAAAAACTTGAATAAAAGACCTAAACCCATAAAACAGAGAAGAAAACATAGGTGTGGTTAGCTCCTTGACATTTCTCCTGGTAATGATTTTCTTGGCTCTGACTCCAAAAGCAAAGGTAACAAAAGCAAATATAAACAACTGGTACTACATCAAACTAAAAAAAGCTTCTGCAGAGCAAAGGAAGTATCATCAACAAAATAAAATGGTAACCTACTAATAGGAGAAATATTTGCAAGTCATATAACCAATAAGGAGTTACTATCCAAAATATATAAGGAATTCATACTCAATAGCAAAGTATTTGTTTTTAAAATGTATAAATGTGGGCCTCCCCTGGTGGTGCAGCGGTTGAGCACTGGGCTGTGAAGCTGCCCACAGTCTCTGCAGTGCAGGTTCGAACTTCGGCTGCCGGGCGAGAGTCCCACACGGCGCGCAGACCTCTCCTGCCGAGCCCAGCTGCTCCCCTCAGCAGTGTGTTTCATCACTTTGCCTGTTCTGTTCCCCTCTCTGGCTCTGGTTAATTCTCTCACCCTCCCACGCTTCTGACTGTACCCAGTGCTTGTATAAATAAATAAATCTTTAAAAATAAAAATGCGTAAATGTGAATAAACATTTTCCAAAGACATCCAGTTGGTTAACAAGATATTTGAAAAGATGTTTACCATCACTAATAAGCGAAATGTAAATCAAACCACAATATGAAAATATTACTTCATACTAGTTAGAATGACTTATCAAAAAGAAATGTGTTGGCAACTATGTAGAAAAAAGGGAAACTGTGCACTCTTAGTGGGAATGTATATTGGTGCAATCACTATGGGAAGTAGAAGGAATGTTCCCCCCAAAATAAAAATTACAACTACATATAATGCAGTAATTCCAATTTCAAAGAAAACAAAGAAGTTAATTTGAAAAGATACATGAACTCCCATGTTCACTGTAGCATGCCAATATCCCAGATAGGAAAACAACCTATCTGTCTCAATGGATGAAAGGATAAAGAAGCTGTGTTATAGGGCCTCCCCGGTGGCGCAGTTGAGCGCTGGGTTGCGAAGCTGCCCGCAGCCTCTGCAGCGCCAATTCGATCCCCGGCTGCTCCCCGGCCACCGGAGGAGGGTCCCACATGGCGCGCAGACCTCTCCTGCCACCCGCTGCTCCCCTCAGCAGTGTGCTTCGGTCCTTCTGCCTGCTCTGCTCCCCGCTCTGGTAAATTTCTCACCCTCCCGTGCTTCTGACTGTACCCAGTGCTTGTATAAATAAATAAAAAATAATAAATCTTTAAAAAAAAGCTGTGTTATACCCATATAATGGAATATTATTCTGTCACAAAAAAAAGAATGATTTTTTGCCATTCATGACAACATGGAAGGACCTTCAGGGTATTATGCTCAGTTAAATAAGTCAGACAGAGAAAGACAAATCTATGCAATCTCACTTATATGTGGTATCTAAAAAAACAACAAAAAAACAAGCTCATAGATATACAGGTTGGTGGTGGCCAGAGACAGGGGGTAGGTAGTGGGCTAAATGAATTAAGGTTCACACATCCAGTTATAAAATAAGCCACTGGTGATGTAAGATACAACATTATGACTACCAATAATACCATATTATTTATCTGAAAGTTGCTTAAAAAGTAAATTTTAGAAATGCTTACCACAAGAAAGGTTTTTTGGTAACCATACATGGGGATAGATGTTACCAGACTTACTATGGTGAACATTTTGCAATATAAACAAAAAATCAAATAATTAGGTCATACAACTCAACTAATATAATGCTGTGTATCAATCACACCTCAAATTTTAAATATATGCTATGTATATTAAAAAGTAAGGTGCTAATTATTTTTAAATTACTAATTATTTTTGTTTTAATGTCTAGTACTAAAAACATTGTATAATCAGGTATAACCAAAAAAAACTAAAGAATCCTCAATAATTTTTAAGAGTGTAAAGGGCTACTGAGATCAAAAGTATAAAACTGCTATTGCAAGAAACCCTAAAAATGTATTTAATATGCTGCCTATCATAATATTTCTAATAAAACTTCAGGTAACATTACTGTCTTCCCTTTAAGAAAGACCATGAAAGATAAGCTACCCTGAATTACAAAAGAGAACTGAGAAACACTTTGTTCTATCAACCACTAATTCTTTTCATTGTACCTTAACCAAGCTTGAAAAAAAAAAAATCGCTTCTCAGCCTTTAAGGCTAAGATCAAGTGTTAAAAATAAAACAAACTAGTCCCAACCTGGTACCAACATATCCCCTATCTCTATCTACTTCAAAATTACTTCCTATAAAATCATAATCACAAAATAAAATATTAAACTCAAGAAAAAATAATTACCAAACCCATATCATCAGCAAGAATGCCTCCATGGACATTTTCTGGTCGATCCTTTTCAGAAAAATTTGTTATTGTGTTATAGTATAAGTCATTTCGCTGTTCCCAAAATGGTGGAAGTTCTTTACTGTTTTCCCGTGAAACCATCCAAGCTAGAGCTTGTTTTTGATGTGGAAGCAATGGTGTTTCAATAGCCTATAAGTAAAAGAAATGTCATAAAAAAAGAAATAACTATAAGCTCTTTTTCAACATTCAAATAACATGAAAAAGTTTTTTGTGATTAAATAATGTAAAGATTAACAACATTTTAAAATTAAAGTAGTTTTAAATAGAAAATTTGACTTAGTACCTCAGCTGGTTCCATTTCATGAGTTTTGTCATCTTCTTTTAAATCTTCAAACAACTTGTCAAATTCTGTCTTAAGCTACAACAAACAGCACAGGAAACACAAAACAAACCAATTAAAATAATAATTACACTTAACTCAGAGATTTTAAATAATTTTATTAACCAAATGTCAGACACAAAAAGGTACATAAATTCTTTGAGATACTACACTGCTCATTTAAGGTAAATGAGTGTTTTAAGTCTAGCTATGTTAGAGTAGAAAGAATAGAGAATGGAGAGTTGTTAAGTCCTAGGATTCAGTCATAAACCTATATGTAAGCTTGGGATGGACATTTAATCATAAGACTCTCTACCTTATTCCTGTAAAATAAAAGAGATAAACTCAATTTAGACTATACTTAAAGCACCATCTGCCATTAAAATTCTGTGATTTTAGGCCTCTCCAGTGGCACAAGGTAGGTTAAGATGCAACCTATGAAGCTAACCGCAGCCATTGCAGCACGAGTTTGATCCCCAGCCAGCGAGCTACACACATGGCGCAGCATACCTCTCCTAATTCACGCTGCTCCCTTGCAGTGTATTTCAGTACATCTGCCTATTCTACTCCCCTCTCTGTCTCTGGTGAATCCTCTTACCCCCCACACCTTTGGCCTGTACCCCAGTTCTTGTATGCATAAATGAATAAATCTAAAAACAATGAATAAAAAAATTCTGTGATTCTATTAGTTATATTCAAACTATTTCCATAGATCATACTATTACTGCAGTAAAGAACATCTCTGTGACAGAAATTATTAGAATGATTTCAGTATCATACTAATTTCATTTTTCCAAATGATCTAGTCCAATTATAACAACATGTTATAATTTTATGTCCCATAAAAGCAACACATTCATGTTATAATTATTTTGTTAAGTTAGCATATGAATACATAGCAGTAGCCCAGAAGAGATCAGGCCAGATCAAAAAACATTAGGAGATATAACCTGGGCTTTGCCTACCATACTATAAGCTCAAGTTCTTCTGACAATAAGCTGGAAAATACAACAACAATGATTAGAATTAAAGAACTAAAACAAAGATGTAGAGACTCTTCATTAATACCCCCCTTTTCCAAACTAACTCAGCACAGCAGTATCCCAGATTAAAAGTAGTGCAAAAGTTTTTAGCTCTGCATTTACTTTACTAAACAGTAAGTTTCAAGCTTCAATTTTTTTAACAATAGTTGGACATTTAAAATATTCAAGTAACCTGATAACATACTAAAACATTCCATACATAATCATGTATCTTTTAACATCCTCATGGATGTGCACTACATGGATATAGTCTTCATCAATGCTTCCATCTTACAAAAGTGTTTGCAATATACATCCTATTTAGTCTACATGTTTCATTACTTAATTTATTTTAAGATCACTAATACCAGCTCACACATAATTACTTTATTCTTTAAGCACCAATATTCTACATTTAAAATTCACTTTGCAGCTCAAATAAAGGAGAAGTGTACCTGTTCAGCTGTCATCTGTACTGCAGCATGAACTGGCACGCTGTAGCTTGGTCCAGCTCTTCCAGAGCACCAACTACTTTCCAAACTGAATCCTAAAGCTATATATTACAAATTGAACAAAATCATCAAATGAACAAAAACTACCTTTTACAAAGTAGTTTTTTAAAAATGTGTATAAGGTACATTAAAAATTACCTTAATCCTAGGTCACTGAAAAAGTACATTAAAATAATTCTACATTATTTGAACAAACTCATGCCAAACCAGTAATATTTTTTTACTCTCTTTTGGGAGAATTTTTTTTCGCTTATAACACATCAAAGTGAATGTTTAAAATCAGGAAATTTCTAATCATCATCACTGGGGGGAAAGGAAAGAAATTCAGAGTCTTCTTATATATGTGTTGTATGCACAAACCCATAATCACAAATATCTTATTAATCTATAAGCTATTCCAAAATAAAGAGGAAAAAAAATAGAGTTTTCCTTAAAAAGGCTCTTTTAAAAAGTTGTAATTTGGAGTCTTCAAGCACAAATTAGTTTAGGCAACCAAACTCGAAGTATTACTTCAAAGAATAAAGGTTTTACAATTCCTGCATCTTCCAATATCAAAATAATAGTAAGTTAAACCCTAAACTTACTTTTTGGTGCAGGACCCAATTTAAATCCATGTTTCTTCAACTGATCTAAAACTGCTTTCCTATTTTCTTCTTTCCCCCAAAAAGTCATATGCAGAGGCATGGTAAAAGCATTGTTTGCGCCAAAAGGAACTACCCTATTGTATTTAAGAAGGGGGGGAAAAATGGGAAAATTAGAAGGGTTACTTTTTACTCCATTTAAGTATCTAACTGTGTCACATTCAAATTTTGCATGGAAATAAAACAGGAACATTTGGGCAGACTAGAAAGAAAAAGGAGAGGGAATAATATCAACAATAATCAGAAGACTGGAGAAAACAGAAAGCAGTGCCTAAATATATGTTACAACCAAGACTAAGATAGGTAAAATAAGACTGTAGATTTAAAGATGGCAGAACTTCACTAATAAGAACCAGTGAGAGTAGCAATAAATTCTGGGAGAAAGAGAAATGATTAGCAAGAACTATTTCTGATCCAGGATTTACTAAAAGTTTATTCTTAAAACTCGAAACCCTTGATGAACTAAAAAATAAGATAAAATGAGAATAAAATGCTGAGCATTTATCTTCCAAATGGTGCTTTCATATCCTAAATATTCCATACTTAAATCAAGATCACAAACATAAATTCCTGAAGCGAAAAGAAAACAGAAGAGGTAGTAGACTGGCAGTGTATGTGACAACTGAAGCAATAGAAGGTAATACAGTACTACCACGAGGGCATAAATGCCCAGCATCACCAGATCTTTACTTGTCAAGACAAATTTTCATTAATTTTTACAATTAGGGGAGAAATTGATGTGTGTAAAATATAGAATATTCAGATACTGGAAATAAGTGAAAAAATTCTAAAACACTGTGCAGCCAAAGTGAAACTCACCTACACCTGATCACAGGCTATCAGATTACCACTTCTGATTTAAACACTTCCAAACTACTAGATAATGTGCATGAAAAGGCTTGGATAGTGTGGCGTTCCCAATATGAAACAAAATCTACTATCTACATGGCAATAATTCAATACAAAAATGGGAGAATAGTTGTTTGACAGCTAGAGTAGCAAAGGCAGATGAGAATTAAAACATTCACTGAACACCTAACTAAAGGTATGGCAAAAAAAACTGCCTGGGTAACTATATAGACTAACAAATTCAAAGAGCACCATAATTCACAATCTTTAAAATCAAACTCGAAAAATACATTACCCTTCAATTTGTGCCAATTTGTTGTCCATGATATAGGCCAAAGCAGCTGCGAGATCTTTCTTTAAATGGCCAACCTGATTTCCATTCACATTGTTAACTTTAATCGCATTCTTATCATAGGGGTTACTGGGCTCTCGTTGCAACGCAACCATTTCATTATTATTAACCTAATAAAAATAATGAAACAATATTATAAATAATAAACACACAATAGCTTTATTCATTATACTTTATCTAGAATTTCCATTTATTTTTAAATTCTTACTGATTAAAAGATTTTCTTGGACTCATTTGTATAGAAATATTAAAGAATATATTTCAGAATTCTTTTTTAGTTATCAGATTCAAACTATCTAAAGTTTTCAGCATCACAATTTCTGAAAATAGGTAATCTTAATTAAGAGCTTATTATGCACATTGTCGTAAGTATACAAAGTCCTTCTGGATGTTAGTATGTTCTTGGAAACTGATTTTAAGTAAAATGACATAAAATGAAAGCAGATCCATGAAAAAGTCTGTTAGTTCAATCAGGGATTATTTCTCACTGATACTATAATCAAATGACACTGACTAAAATGATATTCAAGGATCTAAGCATTACATAAATTGACTGGTAGCAGTAGGCATGTAAGTTCATTATGTCCATTTTATATATGAAAACACTTAAGCATAGAAGAGTTGAGAAACTAACTTGCCCAAGGTCACAAAGTAGTAAATAATAGAGGTACAATATGAATTTAGGCAGGCTAGTTCCTAAACCTGAATTCTCCAGACTCTTAAAGTGGATAATGGTATTAATTATAAATAGGATAGAACTGGAATAAAAAATATACATCGAGCGTTCAACTCATGCCACTCTCTGATTACATTTGATTAAAAACTATCTGAGAATGAATTGCAAATACAAGAGTAAGGACTTCCAAAAATTCTCTCCTCCATAAAAGCCATGAAAAAACTAATGAAAGTTGTTCAACTTTTTCAGTACTCTGCAAACAATGGATTTCAGAAACCAGGAAGTATTAATTCAAGAAAAAACAGGTGAATTAATAACCTAGTTCCATCACTGGCTTTCAGAGAGCTTGATGGAGCAGAATCTTTTAAACATTCAGTCCCAAAGAACTGTCATCATTTGGTCTGTTATCATAGTTCCTATCACAGGGACAGCCCACCTGCAAGTTTGCATCTATCTGGCCTCTGAGCTCACCCAGTACAAAAAGTCTTCTCCCTTGGGTGGGTGGGTAGGTGTCAAAAATAATTTTACAGGTAATGGGTAATGATTGGGGCAAACAAATAATCAAAAGATTTAAGATGGAATAAGAGGAATTAAGATGTTCATATGTGTTTTCCAAGCTCCAATGTATTTCTAGAAATCTAGGTCATATGGAAGAATATGGAAGAATAGGGCTGGATGCATGCAAAGAAAAGTGCCTGTGCTCAGGGAAAGACCTGAGAAGGCCCTAAACTATCATTTATGGCTGAATGTGAGATTCTGAGTAAGCAGAAAGTGAAAGCTAAGAGAGCTGTCAACTGCTGGCTGAGTGCTCATATACAATGCTGGGTAAAGACAGAGGAGATTTATTGGCTCCAATACAATCATTAGCTGACCTACTAAGCTAACCAAGCAGACATCAGTGGCTACACATAGGAAAAAAAAAAAAATGTTTTACACAGTTAATTCAGAGAAGTTACTTAGAAAACATTACCAAAATCAGCAATAACAAACAATCCTGATGAGGTGGGAGAATTTAATTTCTAGAGCTGCTTCATTATTTAAAAATGTTCACTTTTTAACAAAAAAATGAGACATGCAAAGAAACTACAGTTCACACAAAGGAAGAAAGTACAAAGTGTGGTAGATGATCAAATAAGTAAGTTATTATTCTGTATGGCAGCGTTTAGAGAGAATTAATACTTTTTTTTTAGCATTTAAAATAAATGAGTACTCATTTTGAAAAATAAAAATATTAAGTGATGATTACTTTTAATTAGCCCACCATATTTTTATTACCTTACCAGTAGCATAGAAATTATTCTAAAATCAACAAATGGTTACCGTTCTAGGATTAGTAACAACCATAATCTATTATTTTAAAAAGGCTTAAAATAATTTAGAAAACATTTTAAGTTTTTAAAAGCACAAATTAGAAAAAGGAAAGCTAAGAAATAGATATGAGAGAGCCTATAACACACTGATATAAGAATTGAGGTTTCAGGGCCTCCTGGTTGGCACAGGAGGGGGTTGAGCGCAGTGCTGTGAAGCTGTCCACAGCCTCTGTGGCGCAGGTTCAATTCCTGGTCAGCCAGATACCTGCATAGTGTGGCAGACCTCTCCTATCTCGCCCACTGCCCCCTCAGCAGTGTTTTCGGTCCATCTGCCTGTTCTGCTCCCCACTCTGTCTCTGGTGAATCCTTACACCCTCCTGCATTTCTGGCCTGTATCCCATATCCCAGTTCTTGTATAAAATAAATCAATCTTTAAAAAAAAAAAAGAGGGCCTCCCCAGTGGCGCAGCGGTTGAGTGCTGAGCTGCGAAGCTGCCTGCAGCCTCTGCAGTGCCGGTTCCATCCCCGGCCACCGGTGAGGATCCCACATGGCACACAGACCTCTCCTGCGTACCCGCTGCTCCCCTCAGCAGTGTACTTCGTCAGTCTGCCTGTTCTGCTCCCCGCTCTGGCGAATTCTCTCACCCTCCCGTGCTTCTGTATAAATAAATAAAACTTAAAATAAAATAAAATGGATATACTTATTTTTTCCTTGAAACCTCAGTTTTTTTTTTTTTTAAAGATTTATTTATTCATTTATACACGCACTGGGAACAGTCAGAAGCGTGGGAGGGTGAGAGAATTTACCAGAGTCAGAGCAGGGAGCAGAGCAGGCAGAAGGGCCAAAGTACACTGCTGAGGGGATCAGCGGGCGGCAGGAGAGGTCTGCGCGCCATGTGGGACCCTCCTCCAGTGGCCGGGGAGCAGCCGGAGATCAAACCGGCACTGCAGAGGCTGCGGGCACAGCCTGGCAACCCAGCGCTCAACCACTGCACCACCGGGGAGGCCCAGTATATCCGTTTTAGAATTAAAGATTTAAGTAGAAAGAACACAAAAGCATGGCAAGGAAATAAATGAAACCCTGAAAAGTGAAAAAATATCATTAAAAAGGATTTCAGGGAAATAATACATACATATGGCATATACATACACAGAGGAGATCTAATAAATGAAGAGTCCCTGAAGAAGAAAAGCATGCTTTGGAGAAAAGCAAACATTTGAAACTATAATTAAATTTTGTGAAATGTAAGAAAATGAATTTATACAACAGTCATACCCTAATGAAACTTAGACATACTCTACTGAACATTCAAGATAAGAAAAATTATCTGTTGGCTATGCAGGCAAAAAAAAAAAAAAATTTCCAATTCATTTAGTATGGGAGTGATACTGGCATCACAACATATTTGCATCAGAATTCTCACCAGCAACATTTTATTTTACGCAACAGCGTAGATATCATGGAGAGACAATATGTGTCAAGGACTCTCTAATCAGCCAAACTGCCCTTCTATTATAAACACAATTACAAACACAAAAACTCAAGAAACTGTTCCTTTCTAAGAAAAACACATTTCAAACAATCACAGAATGATCTCAAAGGTTCCAATATAAAGAAAACATGGAGAAAATGAAAGGTTATATAATTCCACATCATGGACTTTTTCCCACTCTCTTACAAAACACACTTCAGACAACCACAAAGTGATTTGAGAAGCTTCAACTTAACAAAAATGTGGAAGAACTAACAAGTCCAGAACTTTCTTCAGAAAAACAAATGTAGTTTCTGCACCAAATCAATAACCAGAAACAAAGACAAAGAGAAGTATTTACAATATATATCCCCAAAGGTAATATAAAAACTTTGTCTTGATCATGATTTTTAAAAAGTTAACTTTAAAAGGACATTTTTAAATAATTGAAAAAACTATACATTAGTAGGGGATTATTAATTTTAAGCATGAAAATATTTAAGAAAAATGTCTGAATTTTGGGGAGTATACATCCTAAATTTTATGGATATTAAGTGATAGCTGGAATTTTTGGTACAAAAAGACAAAAGAAAAAGTGATGAAGCAAAGTGCAAAAGCCTGAAATTCGGAATCTGGATTTTTGCTATACAAGCATTTATTGTATTATTCTAACTCATGCACATTTCAAGTTTTTCACAATTTTATTTTTTAAAAAGATTTATTTATTTATTTATTTATACAAGCACTGGGTACAGTCAAAAGCACAGGAGGGTTAGAGAATTCACCATAGCCAGAGGGGAGAGCAGAGCAGGCAGACTGACAAAGTACACTGCTGAGGGGAGCAGCGGGCAGCAGGAGAGGTCTGCGCACCATGTGGGACCCTCACCCAGTGGCCAGGGATCCAACCAGCGCTGCAAAGGCTGCGGGTAGCTTCGCAACCCAGCGCTCAACTGCTGCGCCACAGGGGAGGCCCTTTCCACAATTTTAAGACACCAAACTAGAAGTACATCACTCAGGTAACACAGAAACAAACTAGGCAACGATAATAAAAAGAACTGAGCAGAGAGTCATTATTTTTTCTCTCCCATACACAGTGAGGATATAGAAAGAGGAAGAAAAGTTGGGAGACAGTTTCATGACAGAGAGAAAAAGAGGAACCAAAAAAAAAAAAAAAAATTCCCATATCTAGTAGGAGCTGATCTCCCTAACGAAAATTACTGAAGTGTAGAAATGTGCTGAAGGACAAAAGAGGAAAAAGCAATGAATTTAAGTCACTTTGCAAATGAACAAATAGCTGGTCTGGACAAATCACTTAACCTTCCCAAATTTCAGTTCTTCAATTACAGAAAGGGATAATAGGCATCCTATTTACTGCAGTCACTGTGGCAATCAAATGAGACTAAGCCAGAAAAAAATGCTTTTAATGTTTTAAGTAGGATATAAACATAAAGGTATATTAAAGTAATTCAGGTGGTTGCTATCTTTTGCCTTCATATATATCAATTACTTTCAGTAAAATAAATATTAAATTCATGCAGCACCTAATTCTTATTTTCTAGGCTAATACAAAAAATAAATCTCATTTTAACTTCTTATCTAATGTTGCACTCACGACTCCTGTGTAATAGCGTAGTCCAACCACGTGACCTCTCAAAGTTCCAAATAAAACTGAATCTAGCTCTTCATCACTAGTTAGGAAGTCATCTGGAGGAATAACATCTTGGAATTCAAAACGGGGAAAGAAAGTTGGATATGAGAGGCGTGGAAAATTTCCATGGACTCCATATTGGACAGTCTGCAAGTACTTCCAAACAGGATCTCTATTTCAAAAAAAAAAGAGGGCACAGGAAAAAAAAAACCAAACATTTATATACAAATGGGATCATGGGACACATACACTTGAATTTTTATGGCTCCATTAATTCACTAAATTTTACATTTCAAACACGTTGCATGTCACTGTATTCCCATTAAAAACAAAAAACAGTATTTAATGAAATATTTCTCAAATACCATACCACCTTTATAGACCAATTTTTTTCTCTCACTTTATTTCAACCAATAAATCCTATGTGAAAACTGCCATAAATATATATTAGTAGTTACGCTGGTTGAAATCGGATTGGAGTGAGTGGCAGTTTCCAAGAACCCTACCTGTTCATTAATGCCTTTCACCCACGGGTATCAGAAATGAAACTGCACACCGAGTGTTTACAAACTGAAATGTACAGTGACGTCTGCAACCGTAAGTCAAGTTTTCAATAGAGATTGAGCTAAAACGCTTATAAATATAGAGATGTCATTATACATAAAAAGTTTGTATCTTCGCAAATGACAGGCCCAGTATCCATGTCTTTAATTCCCTCAGAACAAAAGCCCTACTAGCTTATTCAAGCCGTGCCAACAAGGAAAGCTGACCTGCAGCCTCCCACTCCGGCTGGCTAGCCGGTAACCTCAAGTCTAGCGGGTAACTCTCAGGAAATCCGCGTATACACCAATACAATAAACAGTGAGGGACAGTCTTTGGGGTGCTTCCAGAAATTCCCACTCTCCTTAGAACTGATAGTCGTTATTTCCCCTGTGTTCTTAAAAGTCGCTCACACATCTTTTGGCTTCTTCGCAAATTACCTACTTGCACATCTGTACATGCACACAAATTGTGAGCTACTAGGGGAGAAGGGCTGTGTACCGGTCCTTTATCCGAGTACAATGCCGAATACCGAAGGGGCGTTCTGCTAGCCAAACACAAACAGGTCGAGATCCAGGCTAAGGAGTGAAGCTTGGGAGCCTCAGGCGCCCCCGACCGTGACAGAGATTTCCCCAGGCCCCAGGAGGACACTCTCTTGAGGAGCTCCCCTTCCCCAGCCAAGACTTTGCACTTATTTCTGCGGCAAATGAGCCCCCAGCAGCACGAATACGAGCTGCACTGATTGCACTGGGGAGTGAGGTGTACGCGGGGAAGGTCAGGTTCGCCAGGGGAGGTCGCCAGGCCGTTACCCCTTGCGCCCCACCCCCTCCACCACCTTCACCTCTTGAACATCCAAGACATGGCGCTGAGAGGGGTGATGAGGCAAACGCTTAGGCTTCCCAAATCGTTCTCGAGACGCGCCGACACGCCTTCTTCCAGCCCCTGCAACAGGGGAGCGGAGGCCAGGTTCGGAGCGCCGGGCACAGGCGCCTCGCCGGAAGGTAAGACGCCGCGAGTCCAGTCAGACGTCGACGCGGTCTCCTTCGAGCAACAATCTGCGAGACCAGTGACGCTTTGCGACTGACAGTAGGAAGGCCCAATCGTGAAGCTAGGTCTAAGGAGACAAACCAATCACAACACGGAAGGGAGGGCAACTCCGCCCCGCGCTGCGATTCAAAGACCTTGGGGGGGGGGCGGCTGCAGGGGCGGTTCCATCCGGGTTCTTTCCCGCCCCCTAGGTGGGCGCGCGGGAAAGCCACGCGGCCCCACGAGCGGGCTGCCACGCCTGCGGTGTCCCCCTGTTCTTAAATTTTTTCCCCGTAACTCCCCTGCCTCAAACGGAGGGAGGCATCGCTCTTTTCCACATTTCACCTCAAGTCCTAAGCCATTTTTTCAGGCCAAACCATTTTTTCAGGCCTTAACTGATAGTACTTGTAATTTTCTCCTTGTCTACCATGCCCTAAATCGGGTCTTCCAATAAACAAACTGCGATTTACGAGTCCTGGAGATACTTCACTTCATTCCTGTGGTGAACGCAGGGTAGTAGCCTTATTAGTGAGTCCGTGAAATACTGGGGAGTCTGCAAGAGTTTAGGTGGAATTCAGATTTATGGAGTCCTCCTCCAACTCTCTTTTCCATTAAGGAAAATTTTCCTGTCTTGGAAAAGGAAAGCTGGAAGATGCAACCGTGCGCATCTTCCAGGCACCTAACAAGGCAACTGTTGGCGATGCTGGGGGGAGGCAGGGGAAGTCTGCTGTCTCTGAGGCCTGTAGCTGCCCGGGTGAAGTGGAGGAAGAAACTTGTTTTTCTCAGGAACTCTAGAAGACACATGGAGGGCTTTCCGGAATCTAAAGAGCCTCAGAATTCAATTTGGGGTGGGTTAGGCGGTGAATGTTTGCAGCCGAGGGGCTGGCAAGGCGGGCACTGTGCTTTGGGAGCCCATTCAGCTCGCCTTTGACCTGATGCAGCAACCACCCGGGTAAGAAGCTGGTGGTGATCCAGGTTAAGAAAATTGTTTGATCAAAAAGGAAACGTACTTGTGAAAGTGATCAATATTGACCTTTGTCCTTCAGAGTGCGCCATTTTACGCTTCCATCAGCAGAGTATGAGAGGTGGTCAATAAAACAGTTTTTCAAGATAACTTCATTTACTTATGGTCTCTAAACATGAACCAGAAGTGAAATGAGAAATCAAATCTGCAGCAACGTATCACTTCATTTCTCTAAGCGGAAGGAACATGAAGACAGTGGCATTTCAAATTATTTGTTTACTCTTTATTCTGAGGTAAATGGTAATTTTGTTCAATTTTTGTTGTGCCAGATTCTATTAATTATTGGAAAATGTCAGAAATTGCCTGGATTTAAATGATTTGTATGCAAAATTAATGAAGCCATGCTCAATCAGACAAAGATAAAATTCCAAATATGAGAAAAACAGTGAACTTGACTCAACAGTTAAGACCCATGAATAACAACTGTCCCATGGTTAAAGAATGTAGGATAAATAAATTAAAAATTTGTCATTTAAAATCAACACGTTTATCCATCTTGTCATTGTTTTACATTTCAGATCTCTCGAACTGAAACGCTTTTGTTCAGTTTTTTTAAAACTCAAGTACAATTTTTACCAGTTTGATTAAAACATACAACAGTTACAAATAAAGAACTGTCACACTAGATAATGCCTCCTTGAAAAATACTTGTAACGAAAGACTGGGAACTGCAGTCTTTTTGTATGTAAGACTGATGGAGGAGGAGGAGAGTGGCACAAAGGGAATGGTGAGGAAGATAAGGCCAGTTTAGAAATGTATGGTCTCTTGGAGAGTTTGTAAGAGAAATTCACTGAATATTTTAAACAGGAGAATGTGAATCTGAACTAGGCTTTAAAAAATTCACTCTGGGGCCTCCCCGGTGGCGCAGCGGTTGGGCGCTGGGTTGCGAGGCTGCCCGCAGCCTCTGCAGCGTAGGTTCGATCCCCTGCTGCTCCCCGGCCACCAGAGGAGGGTCCCACATGGCGCGCAGACCTCTCCTGCCGCCCGCTGTTCCCCTCCCCAGTGTACTTCAGTCCTTCTGCCTGCTCTGCTCCCCGCTCTGGCTCTGGTGAATTCTCTCACCCTCCCGCACTTCTGACTGTACCCAGTGCTTGTATAAATAAATAAAATAAATAAATAAATCTTAAAAAAAAAAAATTCACTCTGGCAATGTTAGCAGGCAAACTGAGGGGTACCATGGGACCCCCAGACTTCCATGCTCTAAAAAGACTCTGCCATCTGCCACATAAAGACAAAGCACACTCTTACTGTGAAAGAACTTTAATAGGATTAGTGTGCATAGCGAGAGAAGAATATTTCAAATAAATCTCCAAAGTTATCCATTCCCCTTGTGGGTAAATGCCCAGCCAAACAGGATTGTCCCAAAGCAGTGCTACTGAGGCCCAAAAGGTTGCTGCAAGTTTAAGGCACCTTTAATGGACAACCACAGAAAGGGGATGAAAGGGACCTGCAAGCCTGGGACAAAAGGAGCAAAATCAAAGTACAAATCAAGATGTCATGTCAGCTGCCGTTATCAGTCTCCCCACATGTCTCCCTCCTATGTGTGTCTTCTTACTAGCACTACATATCTTGCCTTCACATGTCTTCTCCAACTACCCCCAAGTCCCTTGTGCAAGTCCAAAGTGGAGAAGCAAGTGAGCCCTTCTTCTCCTCTTGAGTCTCACCTCTTGTCTTCTACAGCTTTAACTGGCCACTCAGCTCTACCCCTCACAGGTGGGACAGGGAACCTGTCCTCCCCCTTTTGTGGAAATTCCATTTATTGCAACTCTGTGGAAAACTAATTATAGAAAAAGAATAAAAGCAGAAACTCATTGTTTAATAATTGTTTGTTATTGTATCCTTGTAAGCGATGATGGTGGCTTGGAATGGAAGGGTGATGAAGCTGAGAACAAACAAGATTTGCACATACGTTTGGCTATGGGTGCTGAGGGAAGAGAAGGAATAAAAATTTCCTCCATCCACCCACCTTCCAGTCATGAACAGTCTTTCTCATCCTCCCCACTTTACGCAAATTAATCATGTTACTACTTGATGCTGTGAGCATGAAATCAAAGAATGTGATTCTTTATGCTCTGTTCCCTGTCTCTTGTTCCCCTCACTTCCCAAACCACCCTGTCTACAAATGGCCTTCATTAACTTCTTGGAATAACGTGAAGATTTTCACATGAGGTCATTCTTACATCCAACAAAATTAAGAATCTCTCAATCCTTGGTAGCTTCTAATAACTAGTTCATAATCAAGGTTTCACAATTGTCTCAAAGATGTTCTTTCATGTTTATTGAAATAGAATCTGGAAGTCCTTGGTAAAGACAGCAACTTTAAGAATCTGCTTTTCCAAGTGTCTAGCTTTAATATAATAACCTCTAAGTTTATATCATAACTAAAAGAGTCTGGAAGAATATATGATGCTGTAAGGGGCTTGTTTGCTTTGTTTACCCAAAAGGAGAGAGAGACAAAGTTCAATGGAGAAAGAAAATTTTCAGGAATGACATAGGATTCACAGAGTAAATCTCTATGTGCAATGCCATCACCCTAAGTGCCACAAAGGAGGGATGACAAACAGTCTGGTAATGTTTCTGGAAATCCTATAAGAAAAGGAAATAATGACTTTGCCTTTTAGAGGGAAACTTCAAGATTCTGGAGACTTTTGAAAAAGCCTCAGAGATCATACGCCAACGAGTAAAGGAGTAAGGGTTTGTAAGATGACTGTCAGCGGCCCAAGGGCAGCCTTTCAAAATCCTATATACCCCATTGAGTTTCCAGCACTTTGAAGGCTAGAAGCTTTCAATACTCAGTCATTGTTCTGGCAGGCAGAAGCAGGAGGCTGATGTCCAAAGATGGCAGTGGGACAAGTTATATCCACAGTAGGTGTCTGCGAGAAGATTAATGGAGTCCAGGAATAAATGGGTAAAAAAAAGGGAACTGAATTTACAAACTTAATTTAATTGACTTTAAATCTTAAAATGATTGAACTACTTGGGAGTAGCTATGTTCAGTTACCTACTATTAGGTTAAGTGAAGTTTTATGATAAATTAAGTTTAATAAAGAAATATAGTTTTGTCTTTGCAAACAGAGTTAGTGATTATAATTAGTACAGGCCATACATTCATATACACACACCTCAGTTAATTTATACCTAGATATTTATAGCAGATACCTCTTGCTGGTTGAATTATGGAATTTCCATTTTCTTTTTGTTCATATTCATGTAAAACTTTCTCTATTTTTGAACTGTATTGCTATAAAAATAATAGAAATATATGTAGTAAGGAAATTACTAAGTTTTTCAACTTTTATTTTTAACTCATTTTAGATTTATAGAAAAAATATAAAATCAGTATAAAAGTTTCCTCATATCTTACTGCATTTATTTTAACAACATATACAATTACACTACAATGATCAAAGGCAGAAATTAACATTAGTATAATGCTATTTCTTTACCAATTTAAACAAGTCAAAGAAAAGATAGAGGAAATGATAGGAAATAGGGTCACCCTGGTTGTGCAGGCGGTTGAGCGCAGCGCTGTCTACAGCCTCTGCAGCACAGATTAGATCCCCACCAGCAGGGGAGCCCTCTCCTGTCTCACTGGCTGCTTCCCTCAACAGTGTATTTCGGTTTAGTCTGCCTGTTTCTGTTCCCTGCTCTGCCTCTGGTGAATCCTCTCACCCTCCCACACATCTGGCCTGTACCCCAGTTCTTGTATGCATGAATAAATAAATCTTTAAAAAACAAAAAGAAAATAATTTTTTGTGACTTAGTTATTTACATTTTCTTAAGATTTAATCAGCAACCTTACAAATTTGTGGGGCAGACTCCTGGATACAAACACAGATATAGAGCAAAGGAAGTAATATGAAATGAATGCCAAGTAAAATTCTTCTAATAATATGAGTATCAAGTGCCTGCCATGAGGTAAGGACTCAATAAAGGCTCCTATTATCATTACTATTATTGCTATATTATCGAATGAATTATTGTCAAATGAGTCTTCTAGAACTTAACAAGAAATA